TAAAAAACAGATACTCTTAACACATAGATGTTTCTTCACTCTTTCAAACGAGCTAAGACCGGACATACATATATCTGGATCATGAACTAATAGAATCATTAAGAAATTAATAGTTATTTGATTGTGCTTTGATATGAACAGATTTTACAAAACATTAACACCATTTTCTTTTCAAAGGAGTAGAAATCAAATATTGGGGACATTTCATTTACTATATTGTATGTGATATATAATAAACAAGAGATTATTTGTTTTCATGCAGAAAAATTAATTGGTTTGTTGTTCGCATATAGTAGATACAACAGTGATGCACCTAAGGATTACAAAATTCATGTGATGAACTAAATCGTAAGTATGATTCAAAAGAAGATTTGCCCTGTTGAATATTGTTTGCCATAATCTTCAGGAGCTGCTCTTCTTAAGTGTATCGATGAATCTTTCCTGTAGAAAATCGTTGCTCGAGATGTAGTCAAGAAAATCATTAAAACTAAATTCCCCGTAGGCTGCTGTATTGTTTCCATCGAGTAGCTCAGGTGCTGGACTTATCTTCTTGTGTAGAGGTAAACTGTGAAGACTTGCAAAAGATAGCCTCTTGACATCTTTGTTCACCGTTACACGATGAATCACACTCTTGTATATACCGTTGCTCATCACTTCTACTTGATCTCCCAGCTGAACTATCAAAGCTCCTTCAATATAGGGCACACTGATCCAGTTTTTGTTGGAATTCATTATCTGGAGTCCCTCGCTACTTTGAAGTAAGATGGTCAGCGAGCCAAAGTCTGAGTGTGGTGGCATTCCCAAGGTGACTTCAGGTTCAGGACATGTTGGATAACAGTTCACTGCCATGACTTGTGAGCCTTCTTCAGTCTGTTCTTGTAAGTATTTTTTCTCCAGACCTAGGCTTTCTGAGATAGCTTCTATTAGTTGCTTATGTAGCAAGTGAGTTGCTTCTGCATACTTACCCACCTTATCCCTAAAAGGAAAGAGAGTACAATCAGTTTTCATTCAAAATATTTATTACAAAAAAAATAGAGATTGAGCTATGTTTTGCTTTTATACATTGAGATTGAAACTGGACTATAGATAGTTTAGTTAGTTTTTTTTTTTTTTGCTTACTTGTAGCATGGGGGATTTGATGGCCACATATCGATCCACTTTGATAGAGGATGAGAGTAATGCTTGATGAAATCTCTCCAGTAGTGAACTTTATCTGTTGAATGGTTAATGCTTGTGCCATATCTTACTGGCTGGTGAACGTTTGATGACACCATAAGCATCTTCTCCTCCACAGGTAAGTCAAAGAACTGTGTTGCTGCATCTAAGGCATCTTTAACCACTGATAATGGTATCCCATGGTTTATAACCTGTAAGGGGAAGTAGAAGTTAGGGCTTTTATAAGTAGATAAAACATGCATGCATGCAGTTTGTGTTATCATTTAAGACTTAGATTGATGATTTTGTCCTTTCTTTTATTTCTTTGATGATTATGGACTTTATTACTTATGACATAAATACAAGAAGACAATAACCATCTTTCTAAGTCATATCTGCAAGTGGTATGTGACAAGTTCACTTCAGGTTTTTGCTTAATTTTGATGAAAACGAGACATGACTTGCATGAAATATAACATGTAAAAACACTTTGAGTTATTGCATAGTATGTAATAATGTAACAATTACCTGAAAGAAACCAAAATCCTTGCAGGCCATGTTGATTTCATGAATTGCGCGGGGTCTAAGCAAAGGTTGGTGCAAAAGAGAGAGATCAATCACAGGAAGTGTTGTATCATCTCTGATGCTTGTGCTTGAACCAATAGCTGGCCTTTGCGATGGTGGAAGAACGTAACGATCAGGCACTTGAGGTACACCTGAATTGGTAAGTGCCATTGCACTTGTAAAAGCATCATCAAGCAAACACTTTTTTGTTTCCTCCATTTTCTGTTTGTTTAGAGAGAAAATATATGTGTTAGAAATCCCGAATCCGTTTTTTTGTTATTGTTACTTACTAAGACTATGCAACATGCATAACGTATTTATACATGTATTTTAAAGTCTTCTAGAAGGTAATGTTAATTAATTTCCATTTATAGTCAAACATTATCTTTATATTCCTTATTTTTCCTGGCTAGCTTACTGTTTTAGAAACCCACCTGCTGTTTCTTTGATCATCTTTACATTAAATGAAATATGAGCTATCAAATTTTGGAAGTGAATTTTAAAGTGAATTGACGCGTCTTCTTCATGAAGTGTCTATCTAAAGAGATAAGACTTAAGTTGCATCTGGCCTGGATTGGTTTATAGATTTAGGTCACATGATCGAGTATAGACACACACGTAAGAGATAGCCGGTTTAAGATATTTTGGTTTCCATTTTAATAGAAAAAGAAACAATTTATAATTCTGTGTGTGTGCGTCATTTATGAGGCTGAGTATCGGTCGAGGTACATGGACCAGCACTTAATAAGGATGATGTGTATTATTATTTGATATAATAGATTATTAAATTAATAGTTTTTAGGCCCATTGAGAATTGGACATGATACATGCATGTCAAAATGTATCTGTAAACGACCCTGTGAGCTGTTTTTCCCCAGGTCCAAAGAAAAGAAGCTAAAACATTCGTATGTTGAGTTCCTGTAGCGTTGGGGGAGAGAGAAAGTAGTGACATCATTCTTTTGTTTATTGTCTAAAAGACTAAAACATGTGATATGGTAAGTCGGTTAGAGAAGCCAAGTTCTGTGTTGTTCAGCTGTTCATTAGCCAGATTATAGACCATAATAGGCCGCTCTTAAGCCCATTTTGTACTTTTATGGGCAGTTCACAAGCCTAGTTTCGTGACGTAATATGTTGCATATGAGCCCACACATTCTGTAGTTGGCTTAAATCTGTTAAAATGGGATTAGCAAGCTTAAGCTTAGCATGTAAGCAGATGTACATGCTTTCATATATGACAATGTACATAGTAATCAAAAGTTTTTAAAAATCATTTAGTACTCAAAAGTCGATTATGAATTGTTTCGATTTGTCACGAGTATTACCAGATATTCAGTCTACTTAACTTTTTTCCTTTTAATCTCATTCATTAACGTGCTTAACATATATACTAGGAATAAATCTGCAAAACAGTCCCATGCTTCTACTAAAGTGGATATTTGCTAGCTTAACAAATTTTTTTTTTGTTAATAATTCTATACGAAATTCAAGATTCTGTTTGTGTTCCATGAACTCAATAACATCTGCAAAACAATACCATGCTTTTGCCAAAGTGGTTATCTGCTAGCTTAACAATTTTTCCTTTGTTTTTATCTGGCAATTCTGTTCAAAACACAAATTGGATTGATCACTAGGTTATACTTTTGCGAAGCAAATAAAAAAGGATTTCATCATGACAGTAAGAGTAAGTTTTTGTGAATTGGATATTTTATTTATTTAATAATATGGGATATATTTCGTTATTGTGTAGCTTATTATTTCTTTAAAAATTTGAAGCTAATGGGCGCACGATAATAACCACCAATCTCAACAGGCCAACATGGTACGCTCTGGACCGCCTCTAGAAGCTCCCTCTCTATCTCAATATATATTTTGTAACTACTCAATCTTCTGTTTTTCTTTACTCGATCTCCTGACATTTGCTAAGGTCAGAGAATTAATATGTAATACTTTTTAGGGTAAGTTATATTATATAGTGATTATACTATTTAGAAGAAAAATTCTAATATTGATAATTATTAAAATAGCCATGGAACGTGTTAGGCATATATTCCTACTTATTTTGTTTCTAAAAGAGTTAGGATGCCATTTTGAATACTTGTTCATCTTTTTTTCCTTTGTAGAACTTCTGACCGACTCGGACGAAGAAGATATAAAAAAGCAAAAACAAAAGAATCTGACCCAATGGCCTTGACAATGTTTACAAAACTGAAAACTGTTGAAGTTTGAATAAGAACTTAATTAGTCCTTAGGTCAACACATTGCTAATTGCTTGTAAGTTTTTTTTTTGGGGTCTAATAATTGCTTGTAAGTTTATAATAAACCTTCCGTTTATACAATAATGAGATTTAGTTCACAAAAGCTTTTATATTTGATTGAACACATAAGTTTTAATAGAACTTGTATTGATAAAGTCTTGTTCAAACGTTCAAACTCGATCCACTCACAAATTCATAAAAATAGGGGGAGGGGGGATCGTTTCTGCGGTGAGAAAATGTATTAAACATATCCCAGCTAGCCATAAAATATAACATAAAAGAATACGATGTCAACTCTAATATATTTTTACAAAATACACGAATATAACTCCGTGACAATTTTAATGTCTCTGAAGAAAAACATAACTGAAAACAGAATTGGATTCTCTTGAGCTGATATTTGTTTCAGTTAATTGTTGCTTTGTCAACTAAAAATTACAATAGTCATGATATACATTATTTGAATTTGACAAACCCATGCATGTTATCAGCATACTTTTAGGTAGAAACCATATAAAACAAATAGGAAGCTCTCATTAGGGGGATGGGTTCATATAATTTACATCAAGAACCATCATTGAGCAATTCGCTTAATTTCCTTTGAATATACAAGAACAAATATCTGGTACGCATTATGACAATGTCTTAGAAAACAAAGACATGTATTTAAAAAAAATGAAAAGAAGAGAGGATGAAGTTGTTGAATGAGTTGGCGAGGCGGCGACTTTTTCATACATNAGGGGGATGGGTTCATATAATTTACATCAAGAACCATCATTGAGCAATTCGCTTAATTTCCTTTGAATATACAAGAACAAATATCTGGTACGCATTATGACAATGTCTTAGAAAACAAAGACATGTATTTAAAAAAAATGAAAAGAAGAGAGGATGAAGTTGTTGAATGAGTTGGCGAGGCGGCGACTTTTTCATACATTCTATTTACTTAATTTATCATAGTGCTTCTCACATCTCTTTGTTATAAATTCAACATCATCGCCATTTCCTCTTTTCACAACCTCTATCCTCTCTTCATAACTCTACTACAATTATCTTCTTTTCTTCTAAGCAAAAAATGGCAATGAATGGTTTTTCCAAGATGGCTGCAACAGCTATTCTCTTAGTCCTAGCCATTGTCCCAGCTGCTATGGCTGTGAATCACACGGTAGGAGGCGCTGAAGAGTGGTCCAGTGGTGTGGACTACACAGATTGGGTTAAAGGAAAGACTTTCAGGGTTGGTGACATTCTAGGTAAACCATCATCTGAGCCACATTAGTTATAACTTATATACATTTAGCTTCAAGCTATGCTTTTGATGTAGTAAACTGTAATTGATTTAACATATAGTTTCATAAGGTATTGTTTTTGCTTTAGTAGTAAGACAAAGAATATGATATGCAAGATTTTGTTTATTTGGTTTTTTTTTTTTTTTTGAACACAATGTTATTTGGTTTAGTTTCTTGAATATAAAAGTTTAAAGGGGGGAAAAACTATTAATTGGTTTGTTTCTTGAATACATATAACATATTTTTTTATTTATGTTCGGTCTATCCACATTTAAGACTTATTTTTTTAAAAAGATCATTTATGAGATAGCTTATTGCACAAGAAATTCTTGTTTAAGTATATTTAGGGTTTTGTGCCATCAAGAATTTCTGAATTAGGTTTTGATTTATTTTCATATTGGCGGTTTAATTTAAAACAGAGTTCAAGTATGGTTCTTCACACGCGGTGGATGTGACTACCAAAGCCGGATATGATAACTGCGACACTTCAGAATCGACAGCGAATCACTTCGACGGAGACACCAAAATCGAACTCAAGACAGCTGGAACAAAGTATTACATCTGCCCTACACCTGGTCACTGTCAGAATGGCATGAAGCTAACAGTTACCGTTGTTGCCGCCTCTCCCGCAACTCCTACGCCGCCATCTTCAACTCCCGGAACTCCACCTTCCACACCAGGCTCACCTCCGGCTGCCGGAACTCCTCCTTCCACACCAGACTCACCGCCGCCGGCTGGAACTCCCGCCACACCCACACCACCAACTTCTTCTCCTCCTCCACCGAGTGGTGCCTCGAAGGGAGTGATGAGTTACGTTTTGGTCGGAGTCTCGATGGTTTTGGGTTATGGTTTGTGGATGTAAGTGCCAGGGTGGAGTCAGTGCGTTGCTTTTGATCTTATTTGGTTTGGTTGTAAACTTGTGTGTCACGTCAGCAGCTCTTATTATGTAGGCATTTGATTATATCCTTATCACATTCACATCTTTTTGTTATTGTAATAAGTTATAATTCATTTTCATTTCCCTTTACGTTCGTGTGGAACCACTCCATCAGTCGTGTTCATATCTATATGTATCATCTTATTGGTTTTGGAGTCACCGTTTTTACGTTTTCTACATGACTATAGTCATGTATTAGTTGACTTTTTATTTTTGCTAAAGCTGTGTCAGTTGACTTGTAAACTTACGTTGTCAATGATGATACACACGTTATAGCCGAATCAACAACAGCTACGAGAAATAATCAACTCAAGGAAATGATTGTTAGTTTACAAAAAAAAAAAGGAAATGATTGTTAGCAATGTTTATTAGAATGGTGGTTGTCAATACTATATGATTATGAAATACAACTTGGCATAGTTGGTATATATGAAATTTAGGCTCTTTCAGCATAGTTTTTTTATATAAAACATGATGGCATTGGACTTTTATTTGAGAAACATATCAGCGCGCAGGACATGACCACCAGATCAAACTGTGGATAATAACTGGTAATAGCCAGCGTGGAGGGAGAGTGTTTTTGCTTGAAACGGAATTGGTATATGAGCCACGTTTTACCTCTTACGTATGATTTATTTAGCATATTTATCCTCACATTTATTTATGCTATGCAAATGTCTGTAGTATAATCAAAATTAAATTATAATTATTCTTCCAACCATCACAATCATAAATGCTGGAATCCGCGTTCAAGGTCTCTGTATTCCGGTTGTTATGGTCAGTCCTTCGTATTTGACATGATTATTGTGTAAATTAATTGATACATTTGAGCTAAGCAGATCTTTGATAATAATTAAAGCTACTCAAAACCTGCTCAATCGTCCTTTGACATCAAAAATGCTAATACTAATTAAATAAATAATAAAATTATAATAAGATTAACTAAATGATGGTAACTTAGTGGCAATCTCTTTTAGTGTATACCTACATTAGTTCTGGATTCGATTTTCTTTAAGAACTAAATTATCATTATTTGACCATCTTTGCATTAGTCGGAAAATGTTTCAAATTCGGGTTAGACGAGTATGTTCTTTTTGGACCGACCATATCAGCCAATAGGTTTATTAAAAAAAGAAATTACAACAAGATAATGTCTTGAAACAACCACTAATTATACACTTCTATTAATAATACACAAAAAGTTATCAACATCCTTTTATTAAACCTTTCTGTCCTAAAAAAAAAAAAGAAGAACGAAAGGAGCCTGCTTTGTAAATCCATAACCTTATGAACTCATTTGGGCTAAGATACTGAACACAATGGGCCTAAACTTCTCCTAAAGGCCCATTTAACCATCGTCTTCTGTTTCATCGCGAATGTGCAAAGGTCTCATCATCTTGTCCACGATTGTAAATTGTCTCTACAGAGAAAGATGCAAACGCCATTTCTCCATCTCTCCAAAAGCTTCACTCCATCTCCTCTTCCACGTCAAAACAACAATCCATCCTTCGGACTTCTCCCTCCAATCTCCCGGCGACCGAGAAGAGTCGTCGCGCAACAAAGCCACAAACCAAACAGGGGAGACAAAGGGAAAGTGACTCTAAAGGGTAACAAAGAGAACGTATGGAGCGTTGATAACGAGATTGCCGAGAACGAGAAGCGTAAGCAGAGGAAGCCAAAGGGGAGAAGGAGAGGGAAGAGATTAGGAAGTGGAGGAAGGAAAGGTAGAGTCTTGGTTTCAGGAACCATGTTGATTGAGACAGAAACTGTTCTTCAGACACAGGTTTCAATCTCTGTCTTCTTCATTGCAATTAAAGTAATGATTTTTAATTATAAAAAAAATTAAAAAAAACCGTTTTTTTTTTCTAAAAAAGGAACCTGTGATAAAGCCAGTGTGGAGAACGTTTGCGAGTAGTGTAAGTGGGATATGGAAAGGAGTAGGAGCTGTGTTCTCTCCCATAACGGCAGAGATGGAGCCTCTTGAGATTGGGAAGAAGAACGAGTCTCTTTACGATTGCTACACTCTTTCACGGATCGAAGCATTGCCATCAGGGTCTTCATCTGAGATACAGAGGAAGATCAATTGGGTTACTTTTAATCCTCATGGAGAGTTTTCCCAGAGTGATGAGGCTGGTGAAGACACCCTTTTGCCAAAGTTTGAGTCTTTTAACTTGAAAGCAAGTGATGTCATGGAAGAAGATTCCATGGGAGATGAGCCTGGACTTGTTTACTTTGAGGTTTTGGGTTTGATTTATCTTTCTTACAAACTCGTGCAAGTACACTAGAGTTTTGTTCTTATTGTCTCGTTTGGTGGTGTAGGATGGATCCTATTCTAGAGGTCCGGTTGCAATCCCTGTTGGGGAGATGAGTGAATCTAACTATTACCTCACACCAACTTTCAAGTTTGAACAGGTTTGTCTCCTTAGGTTCGGTTCTTTTTGGTATGTTTAAGAGAGAAGAAATAGCTCATTGCTCTTTCTCTTTGGCTAGTGTCTGGTGAAGGGTTGTCATAAGAGACTGAGAGTAGTCCACACCATAGAATTCGCCAATGGTGGTGCAGATATACAGATAATGAGAGTTGGTGTTTATGAAGAACAGTGGGTTAGTCCTTCAAACTATGAGGAGCAAAGGTAACACCGATAACATTCTCCCTGTATATGTTCAGTGTTCTCTGACCGGAGTGAGTCATTTATGTCTCAGTAACAACGATGCGCCACTGGAGTTAAAACCCTTCTCACAGAGGAAACGCACGCAACCATCAGAGCTAACAGGATCGTGGAAAGTGTTTGAAGTGAGTGCAACTCCAATCTATGGAGAAGAAGACCAAATGGAGCTCTCAGGTCAAAGCAGTGAGACCACTCCATACGTGTACCTATGCACAGAGGCTTTAAAGAGAAGGAACTTACCAGAAAGTTCGGTTTCGTTTGGAGATGAAGAGATGGTAGATATGCAGGATGTGTCTGTGATGTGGCTACCAGGTGGTGTGACTGCTTACGTGGATGTGAAGGAAGATGGAGTGTTATGCGTTGGAATAGGATGGTATTCTGATGAAGGGATTAATCTTGTGATGGAGAGAGATTATGGTTTAGATGGGAATCTTAAAGAAGTTAGATCCAATACTGAAGTGAAGAGAAGATGGACTGAAGAACCTAAGTGAGACTTTCTATGTTCTGTGTCTTTCCTCTGTTTCAGACTGATGTTTAATCTTTAGTACATGTAAGTAACACTCTCTGATGTTTGGTGAAGCTATAATAAAAATGTCTTTTCTGATCTATCTTTACTTGGGGTATGGCCTGGTTGGCCAACTATTGGGCCTAGAGTTCACTAAGCCTATAGGCCCAAGGGAAAAAGATTTGCATTCCATCTCCACTTGAATTTCAAAGAAAGTAGAAAAGAGGAAAGAAAGAAGAGGAAGACTGAAAATGGAGGGAGGAGACAAAGTGGGCACCTACAAGAGAGAAAGAGATGCCTTAGAAATCTCTCACCATCATTAATCTGAGAAAATTCCTTACTGATTTGATTGAAACATGTAATCATTGTTGCATGGAATTCATCTCCTAATATACAACTTTTAATATTCCTCTCTTTATCTCTTTTCTCAACCTATGACCTTATTACAATTAATGAATTCATTAACGTTCATCTTAACTTCTCCTTTCATTTGCAGTGTTTGTTTCTTCCAAATGTAGTATGTCTGTATTTGCATATACATCTTACCAGAAAAAGATGTTCAATTACACTTGGAACAAGATTTTGTTTATTAAACCACTTGCTAATTCTAAATGTTTGCATTTGTCATATAAAGTTGAGAAAATCTTGTATATGGAGTTGCAAAGATAAAAGGAAATAAGACGTTAAGAGTGCGTATAAAGTGCTTTATTTTTCTTTAAACTGTTAAACTTGTATATGAAGTTGTTTGAACTTAAACACATAGACATAACTTGAGCATACTAATGCTATAAGTAAAAAGAAATGAATTGCTTAGGTATTGAAACTTAACTTGGCCATCGTAATGTTAGGCATGGTGTCGGTGAGAATAAAATGAATAAACTAACTAATGGTACTATAGTTCCTTTAATGGTTATTAAGCAACTGTTCTTCATTAAGTAGGTAGTTAATTACGGAGTTGACTCGACCAGTAAAGTAAATTTGAAACTTAGTTTAATCCACCTTAATCATGTTTATGATATTGTCGTAAAGAAGATAAAAATCTTATACAATATGCTCTTTTATTAGTCGTTGTTGCTTTTTGTTGCTATTGTGGATGTAGTTGGCCGGCTCTTTTCCTAAGGTGCTTTTGTGTTGTTGTGAATAGTTATCAAATTAAGAAATTATGAAAAATTATAACATTTATGTTTTACCATCTGCGAAGTTTCACTGGTTTAAACATTTACCTAACGATATTTAGAACATTATATATGCTTAGTTTTTCTAATCTTATCATTTTCAATAGCTGTAGATTGAAGCAAGTATAAGAGAAGCGAAGCTAATCAACTTGGACGAGTATATCTTGATATATTCAACTTAGAAAAATAAATTAAATGAATAATTACAAACAAAATTTATGAAGGTGGATTCGACATGAATTGGGAAGAGGTAACTTTTGTGGGTGTCGTTTCCATCATCAGCTTTAGGACACATCTTGAAATGGATGGAAGCTTTGATGTACATCCCCCACACTCAATTACCTCCTTGAAAATGTTCTCTCTCTTTTCTCTCTAGTCTCTACATTGTCATGTGAAAGGAAAATATTCAAATTTCTTAATTAAATCTTTAAATCTGTATCCTAAAATTTTGATTCATAGGGTTGCTTCAGAAAGCTGATCAGCAATAATTACTCTAAACTCCAAAACCTTGTTTGGCCTCATTATGGAATAGTTGTGCTCAACTAATGATGTAGGTTACTTGCTTAAATAAAAGAAAGTAAAGTCGCTAATTGTCTAATTAAGTTGATAGGAATGAAATTCCACAACATTCATTATTAACTTACTGTATTGTACAACCGGTGAAAACAAAATTGTGTCGGTGAAAGATGATAAAAAAAAACACCAGACGTTATGTTTCACCAAGAAATTTTGGGAAATTAATATGTTCGGACATATAGCCGAATAATTTTTTGTTTTGTTCTATATGATGATATAGAACTTATAAACACTACACATGAAGTTGACTGCCAAAGACACGAATGTAAATGATACGTTTATGGGTTTTTTTACACGTGTGGGGACGTACACACGAAACCCTACCTCTCTATATGAAAGCAAGAGAAGATAAACCGTCAAAGAAACATTTATAATGTTACTAAGATTACATATAGATAAAATTAGTGTGATATATACTATTTAAAAACTGATACACAATAGTCAACAAAAAAAGAAAGATTGAGATTATATCAAATGGAAGGAGGAGGAAGAAGAGTAGTACTCAATAATTACGATCTACAACAAGTGACATCGTCATCGAGGACGATCCAAGAGAATATGAACTTTCTCATCCCATTTGAAGAAACCAACATCTTAACCTTCTTCTCTTCTTCTTCCTCTTCTCTTTCTTCTCCTTCTTTCCCCCTCCACAACTCTTCTTCTACCATTAATAGTACTCATACACCTCTAGGGTTTTCTAATAATCTCCAGGTGTAGCTATTATATCTCTTTATATTCATATGCTTATGTGATTATCTTTGTTTTCATGGTTTAAGTAGTAACTGATCTTAATTTGGATGGTTTAAATATGTGTTTTGCAGGGTGAAGGAGTCTTGGGATCAAAGGTGGTTAATGATGATCAGGATAATACTGAAGGTGGAATTAACAATGATGTGCATTCTAGTTCTTGGTAATTTAGCTCATTTAAAACTTCTAAAATAAATTGATTCTTTTTCTCTCCAGTGTTTTGGGTGTCCCCAACATCACATATTATCAATTTATAGGGTTTCCCTTAAAATTATTTGATCCGATATAGCGATATAGACTATATATATACAAAGCCATATAAGACTATATAAACCTGAGGTAAAATTAATGTTTATAATACATTATAGAGTGGTTGCATTTGCAGGTGGAGATCAAGTAGTACTGGGAGTGGGGAGTCAAAGAACAAAGTGAAGATACGGAGGAAACTAAGAGAGCCAAGATTCTGTTTCCAGACAAAAAGCGATGTTGATGTTCTGGACGATGGCTACAAATGGCGTAAATATGGTCAGAAAATCGTCAAGAACAGCCTTCACCCCAGGTAATTAACAGCTAATTACATAAACCATATTTATGTGATTGTTTAAATTAACATTCCCAATACTCTCTATAACATGTGCTTGATGATTCTCGTAAACTCATATTGATGGGTGATTGATAGTTTCGTAAAAGCTGGGGCATCCATAATATTCGACTGTTGCCTAACCTTAGCTCAATTACTAGACATGACTGATTAGAATATTTTTTTGCACGTATGTTACAATTTTAGTATGTATTGTACGTCCTCATATCATTAAGCATAGAAACAATGTTTTCTGTTTTTATCTCTTTTAATTTGCAATATATATCTACATATAATTCCACACAAAAAAAATTGTTAATTTATACACTGTAATGGCCCGTGATATTCACAAATTTTCTCATGTCTGATTTATTATTTTCGTATATGGTTAAATGAATAATAAGTTGTTTCTAATGATGTTCAATAATAAATGAAAATATATATACAGGAGTTATTACAGATGCACGCACAACAACTGTAGGGTGAAGAAGAGAGTGGAGCGGCTGTCGGAAGATTGTAGAATGGTGATTACTACTTACGAAGGTCGTCACAGCCACATTCCCTCTGATGATTCCACTTCTCCTGACCATGATTGTCTTTCTTCCTTCTAATCTTTATCCTTATCTCCCTACTTATATATATATAGACAGAAATATGCACACATAGATGTGTGATCTATCGCATATTTGATATTGCATGTATACTTTTGGTGTCAAATTGCATGTGTTTTTCATGAGTATATCATCAGATGTTTTATTTATATTCTTGACTTTTCTTTTGTAATACATATATATATACTCCCAGTCGATAATTTGAGGTTGATCAGGTGACGCGGAATACGATCATTAAGTAAAGTGATTTTGAAGCAATAAAACTTATTATAACAGATGAAGAACATATATATTAAATATACAGGTGGATTGTCTTTTTCTTGATAAGAAAAATGAACATACTCCAACATAATCGATCGATCTCGTGAATATTTATGTTCCTAAATTGGACTTTGTAAAGAAAATAAAAGGTATCACACACGATTTTAGTTGGTTCAGCAGGACACTATCAGATTTAAAGTTATGATTAGTTTTAGTCGTTGGGAGATTCCACTATATATAATCCAACCCAATAGTGTACAATATTGTTATTCATATTGCTTTACAAATTATAACAAACGAGTTAAACACTGTCAAAGAACTATACATATCTGAAATAGTTGATTAGTGTAAAACATGTGACATATCGTAAGATTTTCACAAACGGCAGCGAGAGATTATGATCCACAATTAAACATTATGGAACTGGTAAGACGAGTTTTAAATATGAGTCGTAGAGTATATACAAAAAGAGTTCGTTACTTTATTATTGCAATGCTATAAGTAGTAACAACACTTAGGCCAACCTAGCTACAAACTAGCACAATGGTCTATTTATGGTCTATATATTACATATATTGCTAATTAGGGTTGTATGAATCTAGCTAGCTAGAAAAGCTTCTCTCTTCCTGATCACGAAGATTTCGTAACTATAGATGATTGACTCATGCAGCCGGAGCGTAATCATAGACTACATCATCGTCATCATCACCTTCGTTCTTGAAAGATATTGCAAAGGCAGTGTGACCATTGTAATGGAGAACCAAGTCAAATTCTACCAATGCACACATTCTCTTTTATTCACTCTCTCTACTCAAATGTAAACTACTTGAAAAGAAGACTTATGGAAGAAAACTAGGTCACTTAATATATTTATAAGCGTAAAAAGCTAATGGCTAACGACGAACTCATGAAAACTGAGTCAGGACATGTGACTCGCTGCTTATAATGTGTGCCTGACACAAGTGGAGTGTGAAAAACTGAGTTTGTGCCCTGACACATCCGTTACTTTTACATTTATTGGTCCACCTCTTATTACACGATATTCTATTCAACACTTCTCATTTCATTATGATGTAGTTCTTCTTAATGGAATCATAACTTTTGCTAAGTAAAGATCGAAAAAACATAAAGATTTTTTTTATTTTGGACTGTAGCAAGAAATATATCATAGGGTATTGATTCCCTCTACCAATAGCAACATCATGTCATCATGCATAGAACCTAGAGGGACAAAAAGAAAGATTTATGATCTGATGTCTAGATTTGTTTTTGTTTATCTTCGCTTCAACATTATTATTGCAAACATATTTTTTCCTCAGAGATCAATATTACAACAGTTTTCTCTACAATTCTAGATTTATTAAAAAAGTAAAAGAGATATGTCTAGATTTGTTTGTGTTTATCTTCATTTTAACATTTCTGGGCTCAACATTACAATATTTTGTATTTACTCTCTTTTGGGCAATACTTTATTTACTTTTAAAAGGGCTTTTGATAAGGTAGAGAGATACTAAAAAAATGTTCCATGATAGGCCCATTATATATGATTTTTGTTTGTCTCACTGAATATAAACTTACAGCTATTAACTAATGTGGTCCACCTATCTTCATATATTGCTAACACATTATGTATCAACTACATTAGACCTATACTTTGTACATCAACATATTAAATGTGAATTATATAATTATTTTCCTTTATAATATACTATTATATAAATTAAACTTGAGAAAATGTAGTATTTAATTGGATAAGGGAGGGGTTTGACAAAAAAAAAAATTATTGGATTGGGGAGGGTACTTGATCAAAAATAAAATTGGATGGGGAGGCTCACATGGAAATTGGTTAAGAAAAAGATACAAGAAGCGAGAGACACGTTACGCAGTTAGTGGTGATCCCCGAATGCTCCAAAAAATTAAACTATCTCACGAGGCATGCTTTAATTTTCCATCACTCCATGTCCCAATCAGTTAAAATCTAACTTGGCTGTCATGTGTTTTTTTGTTTTGTTTTTGATCAAAGGCTGTCATGTTTAATTAACTGTTTTTTTCTTGACACTTAAGGCACTAACCAAGTATACGATCAGTATTCACATCATAAAAAGAAGTACTAACATAAAACAATGGCCACATAATATACGCATAATCCCTAGTTAATCAAATTTTGTCAACTTCAGTTTATGATTCATGAATGTAGCTAGGAATGTTATTTTGTAAAACGAAATACTAAGGAACTAACAAAATTGCATCAGTTTGTTGTTTGTATATAGCTAGTAATTCAAAGGCATTACTCAAAAAGTTCTAAAAGACGATGGTCACACAAGTTGACATATACTCCTGTAAAGTTAAAATATTTTCCTTGAACGAGAAAAGTGAGTTTTTTTTTTTCATGTTAACGTGAAAATTAGCTGTCCATCTTGGCATGTAAAAGGTTTAGATAAATCTGTAATTTATTCAATATGTATATTTCTCTAGCAATCTAATAATTTTGGGCTATAAAGAAAGGTTACTAGATGGGAATTGATTCGCATTATTAGCAACACATGCACTTCGTAAGATCACTATCTTCGTGACTTTCTAATTTAAATAAATTTCCTCACATGTCATGTAACATGATGAGTATAGATCCCATCTTCACATTACAAACCAAAGATTAAGTCACACATATGTATACATTTTTACTTCTAAGTCACATAATTATTAGTTTCTTTTCACATACAATTTTCTCAAATCACATCAATATTTTCATAATTGCGTACATATCAATAGATACGATACTCATATTTCGTTTATCTTCGTGGATTTGATATACAATATCATGTCTAATGCGTTTGTTAATTGTTTCCCTCTTGTCACAACTTAAGAGTTCAAATTCAATAACAATCAGCATTCAGATGAGCTGTTTCCTGTTTATTTATATATTTGAATTATTATTTTTTCGGTTCCACCGCCGACGGTGATAGAAGTAGAGATAATGAACAGCAGAATTGAAAATCCAAAAGGGACACCTCCCTAAAAATTTAATTAGATAATAAAAAGATGGTACCTACTGATAAATAAAATAAAAACAGAAATTGATTCAATATCCGAATGGGTTTAAAATTTTGGTATTTAAAGAACCGAAACCGAATCCGATCCGAACTGAAGTATTTCGCATACCCGAATATATCCAAAAGAAATTTATATACATATATATATATTAATTATTTTTAGATTTTAATGTGTATACCAAACATTCAATATATATATAAAATACTTTGAAGTTGTTCAAATTACTTGTAAAACTATGTAAATAGTCAAACATACATATCTAAAATTGCTAAAGTACATTCAAAACATCAAAAATACTGAAAAAAATTATTGATTCACTATCCAAATATTCAAATCAAACTAATTTATATGTTATTTTTAGGTATTTTGACTTATGGTATTCAATTATTTGTAATATATTATTTTATTTATAAATTTTTAGAAATTTAAAGTATATAATCAATTTCAAAATTTTAAAAATAATTTAAATGCGTTATCCGAACCCGATCCGAACCCGATCCAAACCCGCAAAGATCTGAATCGAACCCAAACCGAAATTTAGAAATATTTGAATGGAGGTAAAATTTGTGAACCCGAAAACTCGAAACCCGAATAGATTCAAACCGAACTCGAAAGGATACCCAAACGCCCACTCCGAGAAAATACTTACCTATTAAATAAATAAAATAAAAATTGAAACATTTGAAAACAACTGCCCAATATAACGACCAACTTAAAGACACGCCATTAACAGATCAAAGATCACACAGAAGAAGAAAATAAAAGTAGTTTTTTTTCCTCTCTCTCTCAACACAACAAATGGCTGAGCTTGAGAATCCAGGAGTAATGCCGAAGCTAATAGCCTTCTTATCCTCATTACTAGAACGAGTTGCCGAGTCCAACGATCTGACACGACGAGTCACTACTCAGTCACAGAGGGTTTCCTCGTTCCACGGACAGAGTCGACCTTCCATAACGATACAGAGCTATCTCGAGAGGATTTTCAAATACGCGAATTGTAGTCCTTCTTGCTTCGTCGTGGCTTACGTTTATCTCGACCGCTTCACTCACAGACAACCTTCACTTCCTATCAATTCCTTTAACGTTCATCGTCTCCTCATTACCAGTGTCATGGTCTCTGCTAAATTCCTCGATGATCGGTAAGTTTCTTACGTTTTTTTTATCAAAATCGAAACTTTTGTCGAGGGTCGAGCTCAGAATCACTATCACAAGCTAATGAATGATGATCAGTCAATCCCCTGTTTTTCTCTTTTTTTTTTCCAAATATCAAGATGTCTGCTCTGTTTCTCTCTGTTTTTTGTTTGAATATCAAGATCGTTGCTCTGTTCTCTCTGTTTTTTGTTTGAATCTCAAGAGGGATACTCTGTTTCTCTCTGTTTTTGTATGAATCTCAAGATGGATACTCTGTTTCTCTCTGTTTTTTTTTAACCTCAAGAGGGATACTCTGTTTCTCTCGGTTTTTGTATGAATCTCAAGATAGTTGCTCTGTTTTTGTCTGAAACTCAAAATTACTGCTCTGTTCCCCTCTGTTTTTTCCTCTAAAAATGGGATTTTTAGGCCTTAGGTTATACAAATAAAGATTCGATTTTTGTAATATAAATGGTTTGTTTTTGTCTGAACAGGTACTACAACAATGCGTATTACGCGAAAGTGGGAGGGATAAGCACGAAGGAGATGAATCTTCTGGAGCTTGATTTCTTATTCGGGTTAGGTTTTGAATTAAACGTGACGCCAAACACATTCCACGCTTACTTCTCTTACCTTCGAAAGGAAATGACTCTTCTTCAACCTCTCTCTGTCCCACCAAGATCTCTCATTGCCTTCACCGACGAAGAAGCTTCTCTTCAGCAACAACAACAACAACAACAACTCGCTGTTTGATTTACAGAAGATCACATTAAATAATATTTTTTTAATGAAATGTGTAGCTGTAGCTGTAGTGTAGAGATTAGTCGGCAGGGACTCTTTTATCTTGTCTTAATCATAATCAATCAAACCAGTAAGTATAATGTTTAGATGTTGACAGATGTGATAATGCATCTTTACAGACTGGCTTGGCTAAAAGAATTATAAAAGGTCATTAGTAAACCCTTAAAAACAAACCATTTATATATTTGTTTAGTGTTGAGTAACCCACAATTGTTTGTCTGAATGATATTCAAATTATGCACCCATGTCAGATCACAAACATTAGGTTATTGTTTTAGTAATAGTAATATAAAGGGAACAAAAGAACATGTGCAGAGCAGAGACAGAGAGTGTAACGATAAAGACAAATTTGAATGAGGCTCATAGACTGTGACTTGTTAGAGCTCACACAAGCAATTAATATTGACAAGAAAGCCACAAAAATATCAAGAAAGCTTAGGATCTTATGAGGTTGGTGTTGTTGGAGTAGTACGTCTAAGAGGAAAGACTCTTGTTTTCTTGGCAAGTTTACGGATTAAACTCGGGATTTTAGCAACCGCGAAGGGTAATACCACTGAGATCACCATGAAGAACAAGCCTAGACCGAAGTTAGGAGAAAGTGCAGCCATTGCAAATCCATAGGTCAAGGCAAGAGCAGTCAATGAAACTTGTAGCTCAAGGTAGAAAGGGAGACCTTTTGTGAGTAACGAGATTAGTTCAATAGAAGTGAAAAAACCCACCGAGTTCAAGAAGATGAAAATGCCATAATTAATCCAACTCTTTGATCCCATTATAGTTGTTCCTGCGTAGTAAACCGGTTTGGTTTTGTTTCCTTTTGTCTCACTCTCTTGACAGTATCTACCAATGCAGTAATAATCTTCTTGCCAGATACCTCCAGGTGGACTTAGTGCGGCTTGATAAGTAGCTGTGGCTATCAGAATCGCGATAACTAGTAAGACACTGCGAACTTCGTTAGGAGGGATTCTGTCTTTCTTGTGCTTGAAGTAATCAATCCATTGCTTATGTGTCATCAGTGATTCTTCTGATGGTGTTGTTGTTGTTGCTGGTTGTATTGTGTTTTGATCTCTAGATCGTACAGCTCCTGCCTGGATGAGGAGCTGATGAATCTCTGTGTCTTCTGGTTCACTTCCACAGTGAAGTAACATATCAAGAGGTGTGAAGCCATTAGAGTTTAAAGAGTTCACTTCAATGAAATCTATTGGGAGTGTGTTACTAGAATCTTTAGAGCCAAGCAACAAGTCAACCACCTGTAATATCACATCAATTGGTACACACTTCAAATAAACTAAACCAAACCAAATGAGATCAGAACCGTTCATGTGCCTAGTGAAGCAGTAGCCTATGGTTCCCAAATTATTTTTTTAAACCTAAAATTTATGTAAATATATTCTTAAATTTGTAAAAAAAAAAATATAGAGATTCTTACTAATTTTTTACTAAATTATAGAAATTCTTACTAAATTATAGAAATTCTTACTAAATTATAAAAATTATAGAAATTCTTACTAGATTATAGAAATTCTATGGTTCCCAATTTTTCAAACTAAAATTTATGTATATATGCTCTTAAATTTGTAAAATAGAATTGTATAAATTCTTACTAAATTATTTATATACTTAAAAATTTCAGGACCGGGCGATACCTCAAACTGTCGTTTTTGAACAGCTAAGTGCAAGACAGTGTTCCCACCATAATCTTGCTTATTCAACACGCAAAGCTTATCAAACTCTTTAAGACATTCCAACAAAGCAACGAACGCATCAAACTGACAAAGCCCAACCGCAAGATGAAGCACGGTCTCACCACGAGCGGTGACTTCTTCAAGAGATTGAGGATTCGAAGACACTAACGCATCAAGAACACGAACTCTACCTCTCATAGCAGCGTAATGAAGAGGAATCTTTCTCTCTTTACCTTTGATCAAACATATCTCACCGCTTAGCTTCTCCAAAAGCTCTTTAACAATCCCAACGTGACCCATTGATGCTGCTATATGAAGAGGCGTGAATCCATCTTTGTTCACCTCTCTTCCGAGATCCTCTCTTAGGTTTAGCATTTCCTTGACGAAACTCAAGTGTCCGTACATGGAGGCAACGTGTAACGGCGTTTCTTGGCCGTTGATGATGATAACTTCAAGAAGAGTTGGATCTGATTCCGTTGATCGGAGTAAGAACTCGACGTCTCCTTTTCGAGCAGCCTCCATTAAAGGATTTTTCTCCATCTCTCTCTATCTCTCTGTCTTCTCTTGTGCTAGGTCAAAAGAGAAACCTCATTGCTAGAATTCAACGTTAAACAGATTAAAGTGTCAACTTTGTCAAGTCAGAGTAATAGAAGAAACAGAACATTTCAAAACTCCACACGTCTTTCAAGATTTTTGTATTTATTAATCTCAAAAAGTCAAATTCACATGACAAAGATCAGGGGACAAATTATGTTTTTTATGTTCCACAAAAACTTTTTTTATTATTTGTTCACACATACTCCATACTCCCTAGGGTTTCAAAAATTTAAACGTTTTACCTTTTTCACACATATTTAAAATAATATAAAATTTTGATTACTAATACATAATTTATTATAGATAACAAATCTCTATATTTTTTAACCAATAAAATTTTAAGAAACACAATTTTTTTTTTTGAATCTACAATTTTTCATTAAATTATACATTGAAAATGTAAAAAATACATCATTTTGAAACAAATATTATTTCTATAATGTTCATCTTTTTGAAGAGGAGGGAGTACTAAACACACATATTAAAAACACATTCATTATATATTATATTTATATGAATATCATTTTTAATAAAACTAAATTAAGAAAAAAATAATGAATACAATTATTTTTGACCGTTTACTATTGTTAAATAATAAAAATCATTGAAACACACAAATATATTTTCTGCAACAAATTATTTTCTAAAAAGAACTATTTTAGTTTAAAAAAAATACACATAAAAGCAAACATATCTTTATTTACTTATATAAATAAAAAACACAGAAGCTAACATGAGATAGAGAAAACAACTAAAGGATGTGATCAGTTAAGAAGAAGAATTTTCATTCGTGGCAGCCTTAATCCCATTGACCAACGATTTGAAAAAGAAATAAAGCTCACGAAGAACCAAAACCAACGCTGCGGCTAGAACCACGACCCAAAACACATCCTCATCTGGTGCTATGTAGACAATAGCAAGACAATAAGTAGACAAAGCTGAAATAATGCAAAGCCTCATCCAGTTTCTGAGAGGGAACCCTTTAGTAAGCTGAGAGATCATTGCGACCGAAACCAAGAACCCAATCGCGTTAAAGGCAGAGTAAAGAGTGAAGTGAACTCGTCTATCCGCCATGATCGCTTGTCCTGCAGTGCTGTTCCTTTGTCCGAAAATGTTATCCAAAGTTCTGCCTAGTGATGTCCTTGTTGTGTTTGTTGGGTTGTTGTTCTGTGAACCACCGTTAGCGTCTTCACTCTTGAAAGCTCCTGGTGGCTGAAGAACTCCAGTGAATGTAAGTGTTGCTATGAGTGTTGCAACAATCATTAGTGTTTCTCGTTGTTCGCTTGTTGAATTATTAATCTCGTTGTTTATATGATTTTTTATCATACGAATAGGGTTTCTAGTAGGATGACTATGTTTAAGCCGTTGACGTTCGTTACGTGCGTTCTTTGCTGAAGCTGTTTGAAAGATTTGAACAATTCTGTACATTTCAGAAACACTCCCTCCTTCGGTTTCAATAACCACGTCGAGTATGTCCTTTGGTGTTAACCAGTTTTTGTTTTGTCTGTTTACATCTACCGATCCCGGGAGGATTGCATTGTCACCAATCAACATCTCCACAATCTGTAGATAAACATTATTATAGAAATATATGTAGCATGATGCATGTTCATGTCAAAGTTAACTTAATTAGCTTATACATCATTCTCATTCTCCATTTTTTAATTAAATGACGTTTACATACTATGCGCAATAATTAAGAAATAATTATTTTTTTCTACATTTTCTATGCATTAACATCACTAATTATCAATATAACCACAATTAAAAATTAATATGCAGAATACTAAAAGATTATAAAAAACAATTAAGCATATATAGAAAACAGAAAATATCATTAAAAAAAACTCATCTAATGTAGAACAAAAATAAACTTCTAAAATGCAAAGGATTAAAAATGAAGAAATACTATCTCTGTTTCAATTTAGATTTCGTAGTGTAAAATGTTTGTTCCAAAATAAATTTTGTTTTATAAAAAAATAATTGACTTTATATATCATTCTCTCTATTTTTTAGGTAGTGATGTTTTTATTTCGAAAATATGTAAAATTAAATAGTTTTTTAATCTATGTGCATAAAACTAAAACGGAAACTAAAATAAAATAAAGAGAGGAACAAATAGCAGTGTATGTATTTTATTAGTAAAAATGTTTTATTTGTATTCTAAAAAAATTCCCAAAAAAAAAAAAAAATTGTATTCTAAAAAATGTTCAGTGTTAACTAGATATTTTATAACTCCTGAAATCTCAGGACCATTAACCTATCGAGGTATATATGTAATTATGTAAATGATGAGTAAAGAAGAAGAACCAAACTTGCCTGAAGCTGTTTCCCAAGTGTTGCAAGATGCAAGACTGTATTGCCTTCTCGATTTTCCATGTTAACAATCACTGGTGACATGTCACGCTTCTTGATCTCTTCCAGCAACAGCTTTGTAGCTTCCACCTGGTTGTTCTTAACAGCAACATGAAGCGGTGTCTCAAGAGAAGCATTTACTTCCTTGAGAGACTCAGGAAAAGACGACACAAGCTCTTTTACAACCTGGATTCTTCCTCTCTGCACCGCGCAGTGAAGAGGAAGCGACTCGTCTTTGTCCTTCAAGCGGCAGAGAACATGTTTCGAGCCGACACTAAGGAGAGCTCTCACAACTTCTAACTTCCCTAAGGCTGAAGCAATATGAAGAGGACTAAAACCTTGTTGGTTCGGCTCCAGAGCTAAATCTTGCTTGTGACGCAAGATTTCTGCCGTGAAGTCGGCTTGGCCGGAGAAAGCTGAGACATGGAGAGGATTCTCTAGAGAAGACATAGAGAAACGTTCGAGAAGAAGTGGATCTTCTTGAAGTAGCAACTGAAGTGTTGTTATGTCTCCCGAACGAGCTGCATCAAACAATCTGTGGTCCATTTTTTTTCTATGGTCCCAAAGGTATATCCAACCTTTAAATCTATCCATATTTAGACAATTACCCATATGTATATATAGTAGTGTGAAACGAGACGAGACTGCGTGATGATGAAGTTTGTTACCCTGTTAAAATACCTTCCTTGATTTTAGTTCTTGAATTTTTTAAAACTATGAGATTCTTGAAGGTAAGAAAGAAGCTGATTAAAGCTTAAAAATCAGCATAATTATTGGTGTCTTTCTCACTAATCGACAAAAGCAGCTATAATAAACTAGTAAAAAGCTTGTGTTAACACTTCCACTTTCACTATAGTTCAGTTCCCACATGTTTGTGATGAGATTCCTTTCTTCTTAGCTTAAATAAAACGATGGTATATAACAGCCTGTATTAGATTCTCCCAATCTAGAAGGTTAATGGTGTATATTATCACTGGGCCTGACCCACTTTAATAAACTGGGGCTTAATTAAGTTTTGAGGCCTTAAATTAAAAAATTAAAAAATCATGTGATAATTATAGTAAAGAGATGAAGACGGCAAAAAAGATCATCATTTTAGTAGCAAAAGCGATTTGCAAACGCCACCAACCGTTCCCGCGCCATACGCGGCTCACGTTAGCCATGAATACGGTGGCTTTTTTTTTTTGGCTTCGTCCTTCTACTATTATTCCCACGTGTCGTAACTCCTCGTCCACGACGACCACCACTTACTACTACCAACTCCGCTAACATGCGCTTCTAACTGACACCCTATCCTCCGCCATCCACCCTTATCATACGCCTCTCCCTTATCTCCTCAATTATAACGTCAAAATCGCCGCCGCGAAAAACCCATCGCACCACATCCATCTCTTCTCCTTCCCCTCACGAGAGAGAGAGATCTAAACCCCGATCCATGTCAGATCCGGATTCTCCCGCTCACGATCCGATCCCCGATTCATCACCGGCCAAGATCGCCGCCTCCGTCGCGGCGACTTCAAAGAGCTCCAGACGGTTACCTCCGCCGTGCTGGACTCCCGAGGAGACGACCGCGCTCATCGACGGCTACGGCGAGAAATGGCTCGCGCTGAACCGCGGGAACCTCAAGGCGAATCACTGGGAGGAAGTCGCGGAAACCGTCGCCGCCACGTGTCCCGACGTGACGCCGAGGAAGACGGCGGTTCAGTGTAGGCACAAGATGGAGAAGCTGAGGCAGAGGTATCGTACCGAGATCCAGCGTGCGAGATCTGTTCCCGTGGCGAGATTCGTCTCCTCTTGGGTCCATTATAAGCGTATGGAAGCTATGGAGAGTAAACCGGAGACTAAACCGGGTGGTGACGAGGAGACAACAACGACGCCGAGGTTTTTTAACAGGAATGGTGGCGGCGGAGGCGGCGGCGGGGGGATTAGGATTCGGATACCGACGGGAGTGAGCGTTGCGCAGCCCGGTAAGGTCGAACCGGGTTTAAATCCGAGACATGGTCGTGTTGTCGGGACGGGGTTGAGTTACGGGGGGAGGGTTGTCGGGGGAGATGGTGAGAGAGGAGGGAAGCGAGGGAGTGATGATGAGTCAGTTTGGGAGATAGTTGGGGCGATAAAGATGCTTGGAGATGCGATGTTGAGAACAGAGGAGAAGAAGATGGAGATGACGAGGGAGATTGAAGGGATGAGGATGGAGATGGAGATGAAGAGGACGAAGATGGTGTTGGAGTCTCAGCAACGGATTGTGGAGGCGTTTGCTAAAACTATGGAGGAGGAGAGGAAGAAGAAGAAAGCTAGAAGAATATCTTCTTCCTCTGAGGCCTGATCAAAGAGGTTTTTTCAAATATTTAACATTATATGTATTAGTATGTTGTTGAGGTTAATTTAAAAAAAGTGTATAAAGTATTCCACCTCTTTAGTTTCCACATGAATATGCAGTGGAAGAATTGTTCTGTGATAAGCTTGAAAATGACATTGATGGAGTAGGAACATGTCTATTGTCTTCTCTTTCAATACAAGGCTCCCAGTAGTTGCTAGACTGATAAGCTGAAAGATTTTCAGCTTTAGAAAACTGATGGGAAGCAATAAAACACAGCTTAAGTTTCGGTCCTTCATTGACATGTTCATGCCTCAAACTCATCTCCTATCAATTAATCTGAAGAGAGATACATTTACATTAATAACTTATAACTTTTTAAATCCTGAATTAAAAAGTTTAAATCTAATCCAATATATTAAAATGAATTATAACCAAACTTATACTTTTTTGTAACACAAATAATGAAACTTATACATTTTTTTAAAATAATAATTAGTGTCCTTTTAAGAATAAATAGTATCTGATATTAAAAAAAGAAGAAATAGTATTTAGAAAATATATACTATACTATATTATATTTTCAGCTTCATATAAATTTTAAATCATTTTCACTCTGCAACTTGCTGTATCAATGATTAAATTATAATTTACTATAAAGTTATTGGTCAAAAATAAGTTTATAAATAACTGATAAAAAGATAACTTTATAAATAAATAAAATACGATAATTTACTAGTATACATTTATTGGTTAGAAGTATGTTTATAAGTAAATGATAAAATAATCAATTCATAAATAAATCAAATATGATTCCCAATATATAAAAATAAAATAAAAAAAATCTTTATATAATAACTGAAGCTTGTCAGACCATCTAAAACAGATTCAAATACAAATGCAGTTGAAGATGCAAGCCACTTAAAACAAGAATTCATTTCCCATTATTACTACTCTCTATTCCAACAGTCACCCAGGCTTATATAGCTTTGCAACCAATTGCTTATCTCTTGCATAACTTTGCATCGCCAAACCTCCTCTTCCTCGCGAAACCTGTTGTTCCATTTAAAAATTTAATCACTTGGTAGATTCATTTGTTCCATAATCACTTGCTTAAGCATTTAACGAATGGATGCAATCCAAGCAACAAAACAATGAAGAAGGAACCAAAAGTTACTACTAACTCACTTTTAGTAGTATGATCCTGGACCACCACCACCACCACCTGAGTAACTACCACCACTCAATCCACGACTTGAGTACACTGTAGAATACGAGCTACCTCCTCCCTGTGATTCCAACAATACAAAAGTTACTCTCAACTTAACTATCCAAAAAATAAAGAAAAAAGAGAATGATTCTGAAGCCACTTACATCTCTTCTGGGTGGTATGTCACTACCATAGCTTGAATTTACATCTCTTCTGGGTGGCATGTCACTACCATAGCTTGATGAGTACATTCCTCCTACATCACTGCTACTATATGAACCTGAAGTATAAAGCATATAGTCATGTAAGTGTTTACACCACGATGAAGTATTGCTATATGTTAAGCCACAACAGAAAGTTCTTAATCAAACCTCCTCCATAATCCATTCCCTGACGACTGCTATATGGACCACGCGAGTCATGGCTTGTCATTGCATTTCGGCTGCTTCCATATCCTAGGCTAGATCTAGGTACCCTAAATCAAATATGGAAAGTAAGAAACTTATACATATACAATTCACAGAGAAAATTGCAGCCCGAGATAAAACAAAGATATCCATAGAACGAAACATACCGGTCCCCATACGATTCCCCATATTGAGATGGGCCAAGATCATAGTCCAGACGAGCTCTTGAATGACGAGCATCAACGTCAGCATAACGGGGAGGAATGTCATCCTGAATGATAACACTCGTTATAAGTATACGATCACATAGTTTAACTATTAAGAAAAATATAGAGAATAAAATGGTCAGAGAAAGTAATAAATCAGACCAGTGCAGCATATGGTCGCTTTGATCCAGGAAGAGGTTCATCATAAGCACGAGATCTCCCTTCACTGTAACTTGGAGGTCTTTCAAATCTTGGACTGTAAAGGTCATCCACGTACGGCCTCCTCATTTCTAAGCGAGAAGAATCTCTAGGAATATCTGAATAACCAGACCCACGAGGTGCATAATCATCTCTGTAAGACAGATGCCTCTCAGGAGAAAGCCTGGAGCTATAGCTCACCGCTGGTCTGCTTCTTGGAGGAAGAGGATCATCACGCCGACCATAGTCCCTCTTCAAGCTAGCTTTTGGATACGGAGGAACTGCAAAATAAAAGTTCAAATACAATGAACAAAGCTAAACAAAAAAAGATAACTGAACATGGATAAACAACAAGCCTAGTGGTACCTGGAGGTCTTCTGTCATATGACCTAGAAGGTGGTGGCAAGGGCCTTGCTCTTGCAGGTGGTGGTAAGGGCCTTGATCTTGCAGGTGGTGGCAAGGGCCTCGAGGGCCTAGCTCTTGCAGGTGGAGGTAGAGGTGGTCGTGGACGTCTTCCTCTTGATCCACTAGATCTCTTTGCACTAGGAGGTGGGGCCCTAGGTCCTACTCCTCTAGAGCTACGAGGTGGCAGGCGAGCCAGTGAACTCCTTCCAGATCGTCTACTCCCATGGCTAGACCGGTGGTCTGAGCGACTCGGCTGTCTACCTTTGCCTCCTCTTTGAAGTGGTCTAGATAAGCGTGCCCTCACTTTTGCCTGGAAAAAAAAGGAGGAATTAGAAAGCAAGAATATACTTGGATAAACCATTAAAATAGGTATACTTTGTTCTCTCCTTCGCCTAGCTCTGAGTTGTTAATGGATTTAGCACAAGTCACAGCAGCCTCATGAGTATCAAAAGTCACAAAGCCAAAATCTTTCCTCCTGGCTGATGGCATATTGCGTGCAAGCTCAATCTTTTCAAGTTTACCATATCTTTTCAAAAGGTCTCTAACATGCTCTTCACTCCATGAAGTTGACAGACCATCAATGAAGATAGTCTTAACCTGCAACCCCAAAAAAATAATTAAACTAAGTAATAGAACCAGATAGGTATTATAGAATCACCAACAATCAATAATCCAGTATCAAAAATTTAGTTAGAGGGCCAGAAGGAATATGTACTCAAACTGTTTTCATTTATAGAAGCATTATAAGCTACCATCCAGAGACATAAGAGAAAAATAAGTGAATAGGTGGCACCCATGCCTGCCCTTTTAAACTCCTCCCAACGCTCAAAAGAAGAAACGGTAGGATGAAAGTTGCAACAAATAAATGATCCTGCATTGTGAATACCTGCGCCATTATCTCATCTTCCGGATCTAAGAAGGAATCTGCAAAAGAAACCTTTGCAGGCTTTTCAAGTCCAAACATCACTTCTTTCCTTAGGAGGCGTTTGTGAGCATCTGTGGCATCTGAGCGAGATGAGAATTCCAAAAAGGCATATCCTCGATTCATGTTGGCATTGTTGCTGTCCTCTACCAAAGTAATCTCATCCATATTCTCAACGCCATAGTGTTTCAGCTTCTCCCTCAGCTGGTACACACAACAAAGACCCAACGGTCAAGATTACCACGAACTGTAGAGTTGGGTTTAATTGACATATCTATGGACACCCAGATACTTACAGCTTCTAGTGTCCATGTCTTGCATATGTTAGCAATGAAGAGGGTATCATTATCTTGGCTTGCAGTTACACCACACTTTTTACCATTGATCTGCAGTCCCAATGACCAAGAGAATGATATACAATGTAAACCAACACAAACTCTCCATCAAACACTAAAGTGTAGACCATTACCATTGGGTTTTTAAGCTCCTTCACAGCCCGTTTTGCCTGTTCCACAGTAGCAAAACGCAGGAAAGCAAAACCCTTGCTCTTATTCGTCAGTGGATTCTTCATAATCCTAACTTCAGTCACTTCCCCAACGTGACCAAACACTTTCTTTAAATCCTCCTCCGTAGCACCTTTGTCCAAGCTCCCAACAAAGATCTCAAACTCCTTACGCTTACGTCTATCGTCCAGAACGTCACGATGCTCTTCTCCTTCCACATCGCCAGCTTCTCCAAGCTTGACTTCCTCCTCATCAGCATGCACCTCATCACCTTCACCTTCACTCTCAAGCTCCTCAAGACCATCTCCAATCTCCTCACCTTCAACCTCAGCCTCAAACTCCTCCTCCATCTCTTCCTCCTCCTCCTGATCAACCAAATCATGATCCTCCTCCCTCTCCTCAAACTCCTCCCCACCATACTCATCAGCATCATACTCTGGATCATTGTCATCTAAATCCAATCTTTCATCTTTCCCCAAATCATCAACACTCTCTTCTGCGATTTTAAAAGCGAGTAAAACATCTACACTACCCTAAAGTTAACAAAACCTAGAAGATAAACGTTATATCTTCCCGAAAAGTTAGAACAGTTAGCCCTAACAATCTAATTCTCACCATCTTAAACAGTCTATTAGGTCAAAACTTAGATCCGTCAAAAAAAAAACAATTAAAAAGGTATCTTACTTTGCGGCGGAGCAACGTCATCTGGATTCGCTTCCAAATCATCCAACGAATCAGATTGCTTCGATCCATCTAATTGATTCTCTTCCTCCTCAGCTGATTTCTCCACCTCCGTTATTGTCTCTTCCTTCGCTTCCACAGCGTCGGAGACGGATGTATCTCCGATGTTGACAGATTCTTCATCGGCGGATTCAATCGGCGCCTTGACCGCTGATCTCGTGACTCTTCCGCCTCTTCTCGCGGCGCCTCCTCCTCTCTTCACAACCCTTGGTGGCATCGCTTTTTTTGTTCGTGTTCTTTTTTTTTTTTAACCAATGAGACCTAATTTGAGAAACAGAGATCTTTGTTTTGTGCGTGTTTTATATCTCCGATTCCCAATCCGGTTTTTATTCGGTTCGGTTTAGTGATTACCGTTTATTTTCTATTTTGTTATCCGGTTAAGTTTTGAACGGTTAATACCGGTTTAAATTTGACCGCTTAAAACCGGTTTATTTTGACCCTCTAGCTTAAAGAGAAGCATTGATTGATCATGTACATAGATTTTTACATAGACAAGACTTCGTCTTATTATTACAACACACTCTCTGTTCTATAAGATTAACAAAATCACACTAAAGATTCGTTCATATTAGCAACACACTACAAAGATTATAAAAAAAAAAGAAAGCAAGCGAGAGATTTAGAAAGTAGCTAGAGAAGCTTGAAAGATCAGAGAGTATGGCAGAAACCAAATCTTCTCTTTTTTTTCTTGGTTTTTGAAGGAGGCTGTAAAACTACTTTTAACGCTGCATCAAACACCGCTTTCACGTTCTGTAAGATCATCATCATTGTCATCATGAACACTCTTTTATTTAGGAGATTAAATTTAAGCAAGTGTATAAATAACTCAAAGCGTTAATGGTTTAAAGTACCATTTGTGTTTTGGAGCTACATTCTATATATGCTAATGCTCCTATCTCCTTTCTTAGCTCTTGGCCCTAAAAAACACAATGCTTGATTCTTAATACATGTTTATGGTTATACAATTAGAAGAATAATAGTAAGGAAGAAAACATACTTGTTCTGTAGAGATTGTGCAAGCACCTGGATAGTTCATAGGGAACTTCTTATCATCTCTTAGATCTGCAAGTAACACACATTAGATCACTCTTACACTTATCAATGTTACTAGATTTATTTCCTCAAGACACAGTGATTTCTTGAACCTAATTTAGTTCCCACTAGAACAATAGGCACGTTAGGAGCATAATGTCGCAGCTCAGGGACCCACTGCAGAAGAAAAAATGAACCACAAGCACATGAGATGGTGTGTGATAAAGTTACATTGCACCAGTGAAATTAAAAGGGAAAGAAATTAAAGTTTAAAACCTTTTTAGCAATGTTCTCAAAGCTTGGCCTGCTAATAAGAGAGAAGGCAAGAATGAAAACATCTGCTCCTCTGTAACTCAACGGTCTTAGCCTATTGTAATCTTCTTGACCTGTAATATAGTAAAGATCCATACTTTTTTAACTACACAGAAACTTTCAAGATTGTTGAGAAACAAAGTCAACATTTCTTTTAAAGGGTCAAAAGATTAAAACTTGACACAAATGGTGATGTTATGAATCTGATACAAGAATTTGCAAAAAAAAAGTGAAGAATTTATTTTACCAGCAGTATCCCAAAGACCAAGATTGACAGTTTTGCCATCCACTAAAACATTTGCACTGAAGTTGTCGAACACTGTTGGAACATAATCCTGTAATAACGATGACAACATTAACCAACAAAAGCCATTTAAAAAAAAGAAGACGGTCCAAGAAACAGAGAGATGGATACAGTGGGGAAAGTGTTGCTGGTGTAGGAGATAAGAAGACAAGTTTTGCCAACAGCTCCATCACCAACAGTGACGCACTTTATAAACGTTGTATCATTTGTTGTTGATGATGATGATGCTGCAGCCACAGAAGCTGACATTGATTAAGATTTTGAGGATAGTACTCTCTGAGTTAGCTATTGTTTCTCTTTTTGTGTTTCTGGTTTAAGTGTAGAAAGGGAGATGAGAACTTGAGAGGAAAGCTGCAAGATTTTTGAAAGCGTGGAAAAAAAGGAGTCAACTTTAATTTGAGCTGTCAGAGAGGCAAAAAGTATAGTATTTTTGAATGCATAGACTTTTGCTTTATTTTATCTTTCACTGAAATTTCATGTGTACACATTTGTTCAGCATTTTCCAGCAAAAGAAACAAAGTATATTATAGAATAAATGTAGTTCATGTGATGGTGAGAGGTCACTAAAAACTGCAGTTAGTATGTTCAAAATTCATTAAACTTGTGAAAGCTTCTTTTCAGCGGCTTAGAATAACCGAATTAATTGATATGAAATTGCTGACTATTTAGAGCTATGAATGAAAGTGTTAGGACACCCCCATCAGTGAACTGATGGGGGAGGTTCATAAGAAAATAAAATTAATTTTTTTTTGTTGTTTTTAAAAAAAAAAATATATATTAATGGACCAATCGCGGATCGCCACATGTTAATGGGGCCGCGAATAGTGTTGATAAGGTTCAGTGGGGTGAACTTATGTGACATGGGTTCATGATCAGCAGATTAATATATTAATTTTTTTTTTTTGGATTTGTGTGACCCCCTCTTTACAACTCTCAATGCAATTGCTCTAAGATGATTATAATGTGATGTGCAATTTAGACTTTATATAATAATTTAAGAAAGATAACAACTCACAACGTGTATTAGAAAATTGATTTGAAAACAGTGTATAAAACATTTTGTTAATCAGATGTTGATAAATTTTTATAATATTCATTTTTAGTTTTTTTTTTCTTTTAATAACTATGATCCAAATAATAATCACCACAATTTCCATAGAAAACCGGATTTTCTTATTATTCGAAATGTATGCGAGTGGTCGGACTCGAACCAAGATGGTGAAATTCATAGATATGAATATTTTACCACCAGAAATGAAGGTCTTGGTTTAATTTATTTACTTTAGTATATGAAATATATTTTTATTTACACAGTAATGTTTTTTTTGTCATTTGATATTTTAATGAAACGATGTTATTAAAATGAATTAAACTTTGTATCATTATACAATTTTTTTTTCAATTTGTTTTATAAAAGAGTTGTTACGAGTTTAAACAATGGATAGACCACCAAACACCTCATCATTAACAAGAAGAAAAGGCAAATCAATTATTACTAACATGTTTATGCAAAAAACACAGAGAAAAAATAAACTTTGTTGCTTCCTTTCTTCCTAAGCCATGTAGTGTATGTACTCACGGCACAAAATTGAGTTAAACACAGTGTAAAAGGACAAGGCCCAATAAGGGAAGCCCATTAAAAATAATAACAGAAATAAATAAAATAAAAAGACAAAGAGAAAGAAAACAAAACAGTAGAGGAAGGAGAGGAGAGAAAGCAGAGCACTCTTTACCTCTTCTTCTCTTTCGTCTACTCTCTGATCAATCCAATCAAAAAAAGGAAAACCCTAGATCTCTCTCCTTCCTCTTACAATAACTTTAAACCGAGTTATGCACAAGTCTCGAAGTGAAATCATAATGGGCGGTGGCGGATCGTCGAGATCATCGGAGCTCCTCGGCGGAGCTACTGATCGGAAACGGATCAACGAAGCTTTAGACAAACATCTTAAAAAGTCTTCACCTTCCACTTCTAAAGACAAAGATTCCTTCCCTTCTACCTCAACTGCTAAATCTCACCTTCAACAAGGTTGTCTTTTTTTTTTCATATGTTCTGTCTTTTTTGTCGTTTGGTCTAATTTTTTTTTTTTTTTTTAGCAGTTGAATCTGAAACGGATAGTGAAGGATCAGATGTGAGTGGGTCGGAAGGTGATGAAGATACGTCGTGGATCTCGTGGTTTTGTAATTTGAGAGGGAATGAGTTTTTCTGTGAAGTGGATGAAGATTATGTTCAAGATGATTTTAATCTTTGTGGGTTGAGTGGTCAAGTTCCTTATTATGATTATGCACTTGATCTTATCTTAGATGTTGAATCATCAAATGGTGAGTGGTGTCAAGTTTTTCCTTTTAACTATGATTATGGACTTGATCTGATTTTTTTTTGTGTGTGTGTGTGTATATTAGGTGATATGTTTACTGAAGAACAGAATGAGCTTGTGGAATCAGCTGCTGAGATGTTGTATGGTCTTATTCATGTTCGTTATATTCTCACCACTAAAGGCATGGCTGCTATGGTATGAATGAAGTGTCTTTTTCTTTCAATGTTTAAGAAATCGCTAGGCGGTAGTTAAGCGTTGTTGTTGGGATTATTGATTAGGCGGGTGTCTAGACCGATTTTTGGTCAGAAAAATCGTTTCGTTTATGTCTGATTTGATGACTAGACGCTGCCTAGACCGATTATTAGAATACTAATCTCCTTTTATGTTATGTTTTTTATTTTCTTCTGGTTTAGAATACCAATCTCCTTTTATGTTATGTTTTTTATTTTCTTTTGGTTGTTTTCTCCCAATGTTCAAGAAATCGCTAGGCAGTAGTTAAGCGTTTTATATTGGATTATTGATTAGGCGGGTGTCTAAACCGATTTTTGATTTGCCGACTATTTGATTTGCCGACTAGGCGGCCGATTATTAGAATACTAATTTCCTTTTATGTTATGTTTTATTTTCTTCTGGTTGGTTGTTTGTTTGAGTGACATTGAATGAATATGTATGTAGTTGGAGAAGTACAAGAACTGTGATTTTGGGAGATGTCCGAGAGTTTTCTGCAGCGGGCAGTCATGTCTACCGGTAGGGCAATCTGATATACCGAGGTCGAGCACGGTGAAGATATACTGCCCAAAATGCGAGGATCTTTACTACCCTCGATCTAAATACCAAGGCAGTATCCTTTTTTCCACTTTGTTCAAAAAAAAAAAAAAGGCTTTGGGAGATGTTAAGAGAGTTTTAGTGTTTATATCTTTTCCTTAATGATTATTTTGCAGACATTGATGGAGCTTACTTTGGGACTACTTTCCCACATTTGTTTCTCATGACCCATGGGAGTTTGAAACCGCAGAAGCCGACTCAAAGCTACGTTCCTAAGATCTTTGGCTTTAAGGTACATAAGAAGCAATGATGATACTGTCTTCTCTCACCAGTCCAATGAGTTATAAAACACAATCTCGGTGGTGAAGAGCCCTTCTTCTTGAATGAGAAGAGCTCTTATGAGAAAAACGTCTTGAAGAGTTGAGCTCTGTATGTAATCTGGGAGATGAAACTGGTCTCGGAAATGAAAACATGAGGGTCTTGAAAATTCATTTACCTTTTGGTATTCAAGTAAATCATTTACAGATTTTGCTTTAACTGTTTTTGTTGTGTATTATTTTACTTGTTGTTCTTTTGTGTTTCTTGTATTGTACGCAACTAAGATGCATAACTAATATTTTCAACTCTCTTATTCTAATAGATACGTAAGTGGTAGGCATGGGTCTCGCTTTGTTACAGTGTGTTGTTTACTTTAGTCTCCTCAATATATACATCATGAATCATGGACAAGGCTATGAACATCCACAAAAGAGGCAAGAACTCAAGTATTCAACAATGGAAACCTTACATCTTGCGTAGCTCTTAAGGCTCTTAAATGGCCAGACATTATGAATCAGCCCATCTATCCATTTATATTTTGATTTGGCTTAATGGGCTCTTTGGTAGCCCATTTTAGGCCCAATGTCGGAGTTTTTAGTTAATGACGGAGAACGCATTATGCAAATGAACAATCTAAAAAGATTTATTTGTTTTTTTTCTAATAGAAATTTGTAATTAAGAACATAGTATGCTCTGTTTTAATAAAATCATAAGATAAAGAAAATGAATTTAGAACATAGTATGATGCTCTGTTTCTTGTGGTAACATGGAACAAAATTTAAACCCCTCCAATGAACACTCTCCCCTTCCCAGATCTTTACAGTTTCTCAGATCCATAATCATTCTGATCAAGACACATCGAGACAGAGCAAATCTTCGCAGGTTGTTCTTAAGTAGGGCTTTTTAAAGGATATATATATATATATATATATATATATATATANATGCTCTGTTTCTTGTGGTAACATGGAACAAAATTTAAACCCCTCCAATGAACACTCTCCCCTTCCCAGATCTTTACAGTTTCTCAGATCCATAATCATTCTGATCAAGACACATCGAGACAGAGCAAATCTTCGCAGGTTGTTCTTAAGTAGGGCTTTTTAAAGGATATATATATATATATATATATATATATATATAGCTTTTATGACCAAAAAGGGTATTATACGCTTATGTAATAAAAGTGTTTTGAACTAAGCCACCACAAGAGTTCCTGTCCGAACGGTTTTGCAATCTTTAGCAGCTTCGGAAGATTTTTTACGGAGAGATCTAGCAGAAACTTTCCAGCTTTTCTCCTTGGCTTCATCAGACTCAATCTGTTCTTCTCTACACTCATTGCTACAAAACGCCTTGTCTCCTCTGTAATAATAAATCAAGAACCATATCAATATCAATTTAAAAAAACAATTTAATGTAAACTTTTATTAAAAGGTCAAGACTTTGGATCGCAGTAAGTACCTATACATGAAGATGTCTGAGTTAAGACCAAGGTGTTTACGGCAAAGAGAGCAAGACTCTAGAAAGTGTGGCTCTTCATAAGACCCTGCGTAGTATGAAGCCATTGCTAATACTAATTTCTAGAAGAACGAGACTTTGGAATTAAGGAGGAGAAGCTGCAAAAGCAGATTCAAGAATCAAGATTCAGCTCAGAGAGATATAGGAAGAAGGAGAAGGAGGAGGAGTAGGAGGAAGCTGATTGATTTGATGTCCATTTATATAAAGCTAGCTTATGGACTTTCTTATTGACTTGATGTAATCACCTGCTGTATAGACCATGATAGTTATTATGGTCTAAATACATCTTCACCGTTCTTTCAATCTCGAAAGATCTATACGTTAAAGTTTATAATTATTACTATTACTTTTAAATTATTTATTTACTGTTTGTTTCGTTGTTGTCTGGTAAATAAGAGTACTAGATTCTGTTTCTGCTAATTTTACCGGGAGAATTCATCCATAAAAGTTGTAAAAATACATTGAACCAAACTCTTTGTCCGTACTAGTTACTCTATGTTTATTTGTATTTTTTTTTCAACACACAAAAGTCTATACAATAAACAACAATGTGAGTGGATCTAGTTCGACGAGGGGGAATCAAAACAAGTTTTCTTGCGTTTGTAAGATTCGTTGGCCGCAATAACATGCATAACGCATGATTGATGGACTCCTCCCTAATATAAAAGTTAGCATTAAATGAAAGTGTTTCTAGGTTATACATTTTTCTATTACTGATCTATTTATTGTACTACTAACTATTTAAAAAAAAAACCTTTTTCAGTGTGTACTTTCTTAGGATTCATTTCCCCTGGACAATGTTTCATTCATTTGTATGTAAATTTATAATCGCCTCTCATTTGTTTACTTGGTGTACTTAATTGTACTTTGTAAAAAATAATTCATTAATTCCTTTCACACAGTAACTTTTTTACTAGTTAATAACTTTTTATATGTTGTCATGAGACAAAAGTCACAAACACAGCAGGGTACACGTGTTTAGCTCAAGGTAAAGCATCCAAAGATACTACTGGAGGAAATTCAGCCTTTTTCCAAAGAAGTATATTTTACTACATTTGTATCAAAATTTACAGTATAATAGATTTTACAGTGTAGTTCAGATTTCTTATATTGTAATAATTGTGTATCTATATACGTTTCATATAAGTGGAATTCTATATAAACATATCAGTACCGACTTGGATACAGCAATTGTGTTGTGCTTTTTGATTCATATTATAATCTTTCCTAGTTGAAAGCAGCAGACGTTGTCTTCTTAAGTCATGGTAATATCATACAAATACTCTTTTGTTTTTAAAAATAAAAATCACGTCAAGCTTCAATGTTTCCGAGTAAGCAATGACTCGCATTACGAACGGCAAACCAATATATACACACGACACTTAAAAAAAAAATTATGTTAATACTTTTAACATTATAATAAAAGTCCAAAGAGAAAATTGCCAGGACCACACAACTTGTCATCTGTGGTCATTACAACAAGGCATTCGAGTGGAGAAAGAGGTCCCACTGGAGTTTGGGAATATCAAAGGAAGAGCTGAGTAGACAAAACCTTTTTTTAAAGGGCTTTAATTATTAATGGGACCCACCATCACCTCTCTCAGGCCCAATAATCAACGTCCTTGTCCCTCTGGCCCATGACAGCTGCCCTTGTACCCCGTTTTCCCTACCTTTTCCTTTTTTATATCACACACCCACCTGCCATGGACACGTGTGGTGACTGGTGAGTCTCGCTCGTGCGACAGCTAAGCTGGGAGTTTGCGCTACGTGGCGGTTAAGTAAAGGCCTTAAGGATGCATGTAAATTAAATTCTGTTGGTTTGATTCTACTCTTAGGATTTGATCTATTAGAATTGTTAAAGCCGTTGATTTGTTATCACAAATGATTACAGCCGTTCAGATTGTCTAATTTCTTTTTTTTTTCCAGCACCAATCATGTGCAAGTCTACGTAACACTCCGCCGATACCTTCCAGTATGGGCTATGTAGTGGCCCAAATTAATGGATTTTGTAACGAACGGGTCCGTGTAGTTTTTTCAGTCTACGGTTAGGATTTGGTCTAGGTGTGTGGACATTCTGCCTGTACCCCACAATCCAAATTGAATTGACCCAAAGTATTCAATCCGAAACTGAACCAAAAATTCATAAATACCACTATTCAATTTTTTTACTCGATAAGACCGTAATCCGAAAAACGACTTGAATTGACTCTATAAAAATCAATTTATACCCGACTTAAAAATATTAATATTTAAATTTTTGATTTTGTGTTATAGATTTTATATTTTATTGTAATATTTATTTAAGCTATCTATTTGATAATAATTTTTGTTATTATTTTTTAACATTTTCAAGTAATTTGAAGCTTTAAATGTAAAACATATTTTAAAAAATATTTTAGTTATTAACAGTTTATTTAAGTTAATTTGTAATATATATATATATATATATATGATAGATTTTAACTAAATTTGATTAAGATTTGGATATTTCGTGTAATTTTTATATTCTAAAAACGTAAATTTGGCGTGGACTAAAATAAAAATTGTAGATATTTTACAAATATTTTGTTTATAATCTGAACTAGAAAAGAACTAAACAGAAACAAAAATTTTAAAAATACCTATTAGATTTAAATAGCTAAAATCTAAATGATTTAAACCGGAAAAAAAAAAAACATTAGAAATGGATTCGAAGACCGGAAGGTCCTAACCTATTAACAACATTGCTGAATTTATCGTAATACTCTCAGCCATAAAGTCTAAGTTTTACGTTGTGCCATGTCATATATCAACACCAATCAAGAACTGCCATTTGTACAACTCCACGTAAAACTCCGTCGTCTCCCTCTCATCATGGGCTTTTCATCGGCCCATTAAAGTTTTTTTTTTGTTGTAACAGACCGGTTTGTCACACCTTTTACAGTCTTCATCGGAGCCGAGAATGGATCATCACCGGAACAACGATCACCGGCTCCATCTCCTCTGGTTCTTCGCCGTATCAACCACCCTCAAACTCCTCCTAATCCCATCCTACAGAAGCACAGACTTCGAGGTCCACCGTAACTGGCTAGCCATCACACACTCCCTCCCTCTCACCAAATGGTACTTCGACGAGACCAGCCAATGGACGCTCGATTACCCTCCTCTCTTCGCTCACTTCGAACGCTTCCTCTCCTTCTTCGCCCCTCTCGTCGACCCCAAGATCGTAAATCTCCACTCAGGTCTCGATTACAGCGAAGACTCCGTAATCTACTTCCAACGAATCACCGTTATCGTCTCGGATCTCTCCCTCTTCTTCGGTGTGTATAGATTGACTCGAAAGTTGGAGACTTTGAAGCGGAATCTGATCTGTGCTTTGGTGGTTTGGTCTCCGGGGTTGTTGGTTGTGGATCATGTTCATTTTCAGTATAATGGGTTTTTGCTTGGGTTGTTGTTGGTTTCGGTTTCGTTTTTGGGAGATGGGAGGGATTTGGTTGGTGGGTTTTTGTTTGCTGTTGTGTTGTGTTTTAAGCATTTGTTTGCGGTTGCTGCTCCGGTTTACTTTGTTTATTTGCTTAGGCATTATTGTTGGGTTGGTTTGGTTACCGGTTTACGACGGCTTGTGACTCTTGGTGTTGTGGTTGTGGCGGTTTTTGTCGCGGCTTTTGGTCCGTTTGTGTACTATGGACAGGTTAGTTCTTTGATGGACGAAAGTTTTAAGATTTCTTGTCTTATTACATTGCTTTGATTGAACTAGAAACTGATGTTACTTGTCCTGTTTGCGGAGAAAGCCAGTGCCAATGTTTAGATTAAGATAAACTTAACCTAGTTGGATCAGTGAATCTCTGTACTATCATCTTATGGAGTGTAGTGTTGTTGTTGATGTGTTGCAGATACAGCAAGTGATAAGTAGAATGTTTCCTTTTGGGAGAGGATTGTGTCATGCGTATTGGGCTCCTAACTTTTGGGTTTTCTATATAATACTCGACAAAGGTCTTGCCTTTACGCTACGGAAGCTCGGGTTTGATGTTCAGGTTCCATCAGCTTCTTTTACTGGTGGTTTAGTTGGGGACTCTTCACCTTTTGCAGTTCTCCCTCAGGTACTGTCTGTCACTATCACACTCTTATCTTCTTTGTTATATCCCATGAATGTTCTCCTCAATCTTACTTGGACTGGTACAATTACAGATCACCCCTTTGACAACATTTGCAATGGTACTACTTGCTATTACCCCATGTCTCATCAAAGCTTGGAGAAAACCGCAGCCTGGGCTTGTCGCTAGATGGATAGCTTATGCATATACATGTGGTTTTCTATTTGGATGGCATGTCCATGAGAAAGCGTCGCTTCACTTCACTATCCCACTTGCAATCGTTGCAGTGCAGAGTTTAGAAGATGCTAAACACTACTTTTTGGTTTCCATAGGTATATAACATTTTCTTTTTTCTAACATGGTACATAAAGTCCATGTAACTGATGATCTCTAATATCTCCTCCAGTTTCTTCCTACTCGCTCTTTCCACTCTTATATGAGCCGCAAGAATACCCAATCAAGGTTCTGCTGCTGTTACTTCACGCCATGGTAATGTGGCTAGGCTTTTCGGCTCAATACACAGACGAGAAGGCGTTGAAGAAGAAGGAGAAAGCTGGTGAAATCAAGAGCAAGTTTGAGATTGGATTTGTTGAGAAAGCCTATCTGATTGGTTTGGTTTTAGTAGAGATAGTGTCACAGTTCTTGCATCCGTATTTTCTAGGTGATAGATTTGCATTCATGCCTTTAATGTTGATCTCAACCTACTGTGCCGTTGGTATTATGTACTCTTGGATTTGGCAGCTTCGGAGAATCCTAACATGACATAGATTCATGTAACACATGTTACTTTCTTTATTGTTCTCTTCATAAAACTTGCAACTTTTTTTTGTTATTGAATTTTCCAGTCATAGCACTTCTCTAGTCTCTACTTTGATTTCTCTCCGAAATGGATTTTATTGGCTAGGCAACTAATGGGCCGTAACATTGGCCCAATTGAAAAACATAAGAACCAACAAGAAAAACCTCATAGCTGTGAAGATCTGCTACTTCTGCAAAAGAGAAGAAAAACCTTATCTAGCAATGGCTTCTTCCACTTTCGTCTCTCTACCAAAACCCTTCTTTGCTTTTCCGGTTAAAACCAACACTCCTGCTCTAGCTAACCATAAGCTTCTCGGTACTGACACAAATCTGAAACTTATGAAAAGCTTCAACCTTTTAATGTTTTTTTTTCTCTTCTGATGATTTGTTTGTTTTTACTCATGTTTCTTCTCTTCAGGAAGCCGAAGAGGTTGTCTTAGAGTCAAAGCTGTTTCCACTAAATGGGAACCGGCAAAGGTTCTGTCTTTTCCGTTTTATTTCATCCAAAGTGTATCCATTTTCAATTTTTTGTCTTTTAATTAATTAATTGGGAGATTGTTGTAATGATAAATTCAGGTTGTTCCTCAAGCAGACAGGGTTCTTGTTCGTCTTGAAGAGCTTGCTCAGGTCTATCTCTTCTTATATCTTCTTTTATGGTCTGATTACTAAGAAGACATTGTAGTTGATTAGCTCTGTTATAGCAAATTGATTGCCAATTATTTAATATGTATTTGATGTGATTATAATGCAGACAACATCAGGTGGAGTGTTGTTGCCTAAAGCAGCTGTTAAGTTTGAGAGGTACCTAACCGGAGAGGTAAGCCCTTTTGCTCCCTTTGTTATGTTACATGTGTCTAAACGTATGACTTCAGGCTCTTTAAGTATGGCTTTATTCATATTATAGGTTGTCTCTGTTGGTTCTGAGGTTGGACAACAAGTTGGCCCTGGAAAGAAGGTTAGCCTCTTTTTTTTTTTTTAAATCTCAAAGTCATAACTGTCATCTATTGTAACTAACTGCTGTGAATGTTCTTCATCTGTCTCGCCTTTGCCTTTTCACAGGTCCTCTTCTCTGACGTGAGCGCATATGAGGTTAGTTAGTTATTATGTTTTTTTTCTCCTTCTTGAAGGTGAAGTTAGCCTCTCTCCGTAATGGAATGCAACATCTCTGGATTTATTGTTCAGGTTGATTTGGGGACCGGTGCTAGGCATTGCTTTTGTAAAGAGAGCGACTTGTTGGCTCTCGTGGAGTGAGTTCTTGTCCGAAGAAGAGGATCCATTCAATGTTTTTCTTCAAGATTCTAGTTGTTTTGGTGTTACTCTCAGTCTTGTTTTGTGACGACTATTTCAGACAATCATTAAACAAAAACATCTTCAACTAGTTAAACCAATTAAATAACATTTTGCAATGTCTAGCATCTTCTGATAATACAAAAGAAAATGAGATTTAAAACTCATAAACTTGAAGCTCGACCATGCCTTCTTTTCTCTTTGGGGAGTACCAAGCCACGACTTTTCCAGATTCAAGAAGCCTCAAGGAGTAGTTCAAACTGTAAATCAAATCTTCCATTTGTGCACCATACTTCCCTGCACCTACCTGAAACTGTGAGTCCACTTTGAAAACAATTGGACCTGCAACCTGGACAATTATTGCATGACAGTGATTAGAATTTGATTCATTCCATTAAATTACTTTGTTCTTTGGACAACAAAGTTAATACCTGTTGCTGGAATATCATGTTGAGCCTGGGAGAACCAGATGTGTCTTCTGTTTTCTTTGAAGATCTTCTGATTGCATGGAAGATTCTTTTAGCAAGAGCAGAAGCTGAGGAAACGTCTACACGAGCATCTACTCTTGTTAGATCACCATACAGCTTACTAAACTTCCCTTTCTGAAACGTATAACAAGCAGAACCAAACACATCTGCGCTTATAGGACTCCTCTTCTTGCCATTAACCAACACGTCTCGTCCTGTAATCCAAGCTGCCAAGCTGCCACCTACGATTCCTGAAACTCCTGCATGAGGCTCCTTGAGGCGTAAATCGTAAGGTAGATAAACAGGTGAATCATCATCATCTTCTTCTTCTTCTTTTGTGTTGTCAAGTTTTTCCTTTTAACTATGATTATGGACTTGATCTAATGTTTTTTGTGTGTGTGTGTGTGTGTGTACATTATTAGGTGATATGTTTACGGAAGAACATAATGAGCTTGTGGAATCAGCTGCTGAGATGTTGTATGGTCTTATTCATGTTCGTTACATTCTCACCACTAAAGGCATGGCTGCTATGGTATGAATGAAGTGTCTTTTTCTTTCAATGTTTAAGAAATCGCTAGGCGGTAGTTAAGCGTTTTTGTTGGGATTATTGATTAGGCGGGTGTCTAGACCGATTTTTGGTCAGAAAAATCGTTTCGTTTATGTCTGATTTGATGATTAGACGCTGCCTAGACCGATTATTAGAATACTAATCTCCTTTTATGTTATGTTTTTTTTTATTTTCTTCTGGTTGTTTTCTTCCAATGTTCAAGAAATCGCTAGGCGGTAGTTAAGCGTTTTATATTGGATTATTGATTAGGCGGGTGTCTAGACCGATTTTTGATTTGTCGACTAGGCGGACGATTATTAGAATACTAATTTCCTTTTATGTTATGTTTTTTTTTCTTCTGGTTGCAATGCCAGATCACGCCATTGACAACTTTTGTAAAGGTACTACTTTCTATTACCCCATGTCTTATCAAAGCTTGGAGAAAACCGCAACCAGGGCTTGTCGCTAGGTGGATAGCTTATGCATACACATGCGGTTTTCTATTTGGATGGCATGTACATGAGAAAGCGTCGCTTCATTTCACTATCCCACTTGCAATCGTTGCAGTTCAGAGTTTAGAAGATGCTAAACACTACTTCTTGGTTTCCATCGGTATATAACATTTTCTCTAACCAGCACCCACACTTTTGCATAAATTATTTGGTCTATGTACTGATGATCTCTAATATCTTCTCCAGTGTCTTGCTACTCGCTCTTTCCACTCTTATATGAGCCGCAAGAATACCCAATCAAGGTTCTGCTGCTGTTACTCCACGCCATGGTAATGTGGCTAGGCTTCTCGGCTCAGTACTTAGACGAGAAGGCGTTGAAGAAGGAGAAAGCTGGTGAAATCAAGAGCAAGTTTGAGATTGGACGTGTTGAGAAAACCTATCTGATTGGTTTGGTTTTAGTAGAGATAGTGTCTCAGTTCTTGCATCCGTATTTTCTAGGTGATAGATATGCATTCATGCCTTTAATGTTGATCTCAACCTACTGTGCCGTTGGTATCATGTACACTTGGATTTGGCAGCTTCGTAAGATCCTGGCATGACATACATTTTTGCAGTGTTTTGAAACCCGACCCGGACCCGCGGTTGAACCGGTAAACCCGGTGACCCAAAATAAATCCGGTTCGGGTTTTGTTGAAAACCCAAAATTTAAAAACCCTCAAAAACCCGGAAAAACCCACTAAAACCCAAAACCCGATACCGGTTGAACCATTGGTTAAACCAATAAATAAACTTTTATTTTTTTAGTTTAAAATTATATTTTTATTCCGTTTTAAATTCTAAATTCTAATTTTAAAGTTAGGTTTTCACGTTTTAGTTATTGGCATTGTTGTCTTCTTCTTTAAAACTAGATTAAACTTTCTAACTTTTTACATTACATAATACCTACTATACTATTTTATCTGTGATTTTTAAATTTTGATGAAGATTTTACTATACCACTTGAAAAAAATGAACTGAAGGGTGGTAGTTTTTTTTATAACACTTGAACATGTGAAGATAATATTTGTGATACAAAGCAAAAATTAAGAAATTAAATAGGATGTCAATAGACACCACACAAACAAGGAGAAAGAAATAAAATCTCACCCACTCCCATTATTGTCGAGTTTCCATAGTGAGAAAAAGCTGAAGCCAAGCCGGAGCATTTCGGCGACGAATGATTAGGATTGACCATTTCGGGTGAGACAATATCTCATTGCTGAGCCTCCAGCGCGAGTAGATGATGAAGCCACACCGGAGCGTTACGGGCGATGTAGGATTGATGACGAAGGTCGCGCGTGACACTCAAAGCAATTGCCGCTGCAGCTTCATTGCGTTCGGGAAGGGCATGATCCAAACTCCATGAATCAATCCTTGCAAGGAGGAAGAAAATGCTGTGACGTATATGGCTGAGACTAAGGTAATTCGTCGTGGTAAGAGCATCATGTAGGGTTGCAGAGGCAGTTTCAAAAATAATATTCGAGAAATGTAGAGTATGCAAACAATCGACTGCCCAAAAGAGAGCCCACAAATCTGCTTCTGTCTTTGAGCGCATACATGAGTAAGCACGACGGCTATGCAAGATTGTGGACCCTTTTTCATCCCGAAGGATCCAAGAAGCACCGGCAGTATGGCTTGAATGTACCCACGAAGATCCAACATTACATTTGAGGAAACCAATAGGTGGTTTTTTCCATTTAATGGTTTCCGGAACAACCTCATCACCTCCTTCCTTCCTACCAGAGAAAGTATCGAACCAAGTGGATTCTTCCTTATAAGCTTTACTAGCAATGAAAGATGCCTCTATCCTCTTAGACTCAAAGACGAAAGCGTTTCTAGCTTTCCAAATTTCCTATAACAACCATGGGAAAACATTCCTTGTATGAATATCCATAGAGGGGCTCTTGTGAATCTTGATCAAGTGCACAAAATTTAAAAAAGTGGAATTCCGAGAGAAACCTCCTAATGGTACTGGAAAATTGGAAAGCTCCCATGTTTCTCGTGCTTTATCACATGTAAAGAGAACATGACAGATACTTTCCGGACCATTACCACAAACAGAACATGACAGAAGGGTGGTAGTTAGAACCAAAATTATTTGATGTAATTTGGTGTTAGTTTATTTTTGTTATTGATAATTTTGTACAATGATGTTTTACTTTTTGTTTATTTTGTATTTGAAGTTTAATTTATTATTCTCATTAGACATTTAAATATTTATAATTTTATATCTTAATGTTTTAGATGTCATTACTCTTAATTTATTATAAAAAAATTAAATAGTATAAACAAGTTTTGATATCTTGTATATTTATACATTTTATGCTTTAAAACATTTACAAAATATTTAACTTTAGTTTTTATATTTTTATTTTCATAGCTAATATATTATTATATAATAAAGTTTTATTTATTAACCCGTGGTTCACCCGCAGTCGACCCAGTGACCCAATGATCTAGTAAGTCGTCTGGTTCAGTGTCCGGGTCGGGTTTAAAAACACTGCATTTTTGTTACTTGAGGCGTTTGGCTTTAGTACTCTTTAAACATGTTCATGCACTTGTATGATTCTGTTAGCTAAGCTTAAACTGAAAAGTTGAAAACAACTAACGGGCCGTGACATTGGCCCAATAAGAAAACATAAGAACCAACGAGAAACCTCCAAGCCGGAGTAATAACAGAGAAAGAAGAGCTGCTACTTCGGCAAAAGAGTAGAAAAAAAAAACCTTATCTAGCAATGGCTTCTTCCACTTTCGTCTCTCTACCAAAACCCTTCTTCGCTTTTCCGGTTAAAACCAATGCTCCTGCTCTAACTAACCTTAACCTTCTCGGTACTGACTCTAATTTAAAACTTTTTAAAGTTTCAACCTTTTAATGTCTTTTCTCGTCTGATGATTTGTTTGTGTCCTCGTGTTTCTTCTCTTCAGGAATAGGAAGCCGAAGAGGTTGTCTCAGAGTCAAAGCGGTTTCTACGAAATGGGAACCGGCAAAGGTTCTGTCTTTTTTTCCGTTTTATTTCAAGCAAAGTGTATTTTCACTTTTTAATTAATTAATTGGGAGATTGTTGTAATGATAAATGCAGGTTGTTCCTCAAGCAGACAGGGTTCTTGTTCGTCTTGAAGAGCTTGCTCAGGTCTATCTCTTCTTATATCTTCTTTTATGGTCTGATTACTAAGAAGACATTTTAGTTTATTAGCTCAGTTATCACAATTTTTAGTTACCAATAATCACAGGTTATGTTGTTACTTTGTGAATGCAGACAACATCAGGTGGAGTGTTGTTGCCTAAAGCAGCTGTTAAGTTTGAGAGGTACCTAACCGGAGAGGTAAGCCCTTTTGCTCCCTTTGTTATGTTAATTAACATATGACTTCAGGCTCTTTAAGTATGGCATTATTCATATTATAGATTGTCTCTGTTGGTTCTGAGGTTGGACAACAAGTTGGCCCTGGAAAGAAGGTTAGCCTCTTTTTTTAACTCTTAAGTTACAGTAACTATCATCTATTGTAACTGCTGTGAATGTTCTTCATTCGTTTCGTCTTTGCCTTTTCACAGGTCCTCTTTTCTGACGTGAGCGCATATGAGGTTAGTTAGTTAGTTATTATGTTTTTTTTCTCCTTCTTGAAGGTGAAGTTAGCCTCTCTGTAATGAAATGTAACATCTCTGGATTTATTGTTCAGGTTGATTTGGGGACTGGTGCTAGGCATTGCTTTTGTAAAGAGAGCGACTTGTTGGCCCTCGTGGAGTGAGTTCTTGTCCGAAGAGAGGATCCATTCAATGTTTTTCTTTAAGATTTTAGTTGTTTTTGCTGTATCTCTCAGTCTTGTTTTGTAACGATCATTTATATCATTTCAGACAATCATTAAACAAAAACATCTTCAACTAGTTAAACCGATTAAATAACATTTTGCCATGTCTAGCATCTTCTGATACAAAGAAACTGAGATTTAAAACTCATAAACTTGAAGCTCGACCATGCCTTCTTTTCTCTTTGGGGAGTACCAAGCCACGACTTTTCCAGATTCAAGAAGCCTCAATGAGTAGTTCAAACTGTAAATTAGATCTTCCATTTGTGCACCATACTTCCCTGCACCTACCTGAAACTGTGAGTCCACTTTGAAAACAATTGGACCTGCAACCTGCACAATTGTTGCATGGCATTGATTAGAATTTGATTCTTTTACATTAAATAACTTTAGAACTTTGGAGAAGAAGCTAGTACCTGTTGCTGGAATATCAGGTTGAGCCTGGGAGAACCAGATGTGTCTACAGTTTTGTTTGAAGATCTTCTGATTGAATGGAAGATTCTTTTAGCAAGAGCAGAAGCTGAGGAAACGTCTACACGAGCATCTACTCTTGTTAGATCACCATACAGCTTACTAAACTTCCCTTTCTGAAACGTATAACAAGCAGAACCAAACACATCTGCGCTTATAGGACTCCTCTTCTTGCCGTTAACCAACACGTCTCGTCCTGTAATCCAAGCTGCCAAGCTGCCACCTACGATTCCTGAAACTCCTGCATGAGGCTCCTTGAGGCGTAAATCGTAAGGTAGATAAACAGGTGAATCATCATCATCTTCTTCTTCTTCTTTTGTTTTGTCTTCTTTAGGCCTCCACAAGTCTCTCTTACCCTTGTATGAAACAGCAGCCTTGGCGCATAAACCAGGCATCAAAGAAGCAGGAGCAACGCCACTACTCTCAGAAGCAGCAGCATTCACAAGCTGAGGATCACCGTTGCTTTTGTGTACACCGAAACGGTACTGAAGCCCGGTCTCTGGAACAAGAGATGAAACATCGAAGTTTAACGACTCAGGAACATCCCAGAAACGTCCTTTATGGTCCAAAAACAGATCAGGCCAAGCTGCTTCCACAGTGAGATCATGTTTCTCAAGCTGCTCAACCAAAAGACAAAATCAGAAGTGTTTATAAACATAACAACGAATCGGAAACAGATGCGTACCGGATGAACAAACATAAGCTTCTTTCTGATCCCGTCTTTGTCTCCATGACGTTCAGCGTTGAGCAAGAGAGAGGAAGAAGAGCCTATTGCAATCTGAGTCCATAGACCAACTGAGTAAAGTGACTTGTCTACAATGTGTTTTGTTGTATCCTTGAAAAGCTGGAGATCCCATTCCTCAGCTTTGCTGAAACTTGCTTTGATATCAGTAAAGAGCTTCCTTGGCTTGAACTGCCCAACCAATCCTGCCCACCTTCAACAATCCATACAGAAGTTGAGTTAAAAAAAAACAGAACTAGTCACATGTCTCAACAACACTGAAAAAAAGACAACCTCTAAACAGAACTAATCACATGTCTCAACAACACTGAGAATAAAAAGAACAACCTCTAAGAAACCAAACAGAACTAGTCATATGTTTTTGTTTTCCAAAGTCAAACCTTTAAGCATTACCCACTCAAAACACCAAATATAAAAGTGATTTCTTCTCAGCACAAGAGACGTTAAATGAAAAAAAAAAAGAGTCTTATGTCTCATCTTATCCAACGATATCAACAACACTGAGATAAAGACAACCTCTTCTGCTGTTTTTGTATTCAAAGTAAAAACCTTTAAGCATTACTCACTCAAAACACCAAAGACAAAACTTATGTATCTCAATAAAATTAGTCTTATGTCTCATCAACAACACTGAGCAAAAAAAGACAACCTTTTGTGATGTTTTTGTATTCAAAGTCAAAACCTTTAAGCATTACTAACTCAAAACACCAAATAAAAAACTGAATTGTTCTNGTATTCAAAGTAAAAACCTTTAAGCATTACTCACTCAAAACACCAAAGACAAAACTTATGTATCTCAATAAAATTAGTCTTATGTCTCATCAACAACACTGAGCAAAAAAAGACAACCTTTTGTGATGTTTTTGTATTCAAAGTCAAAACCTTTAAGCATTACTAACTCAAAACACCAAATAAAAAACTGAATTGTTCTCAGTAAGACAGCAGGAGAGGTGTTTAATAGATTGCAGTTACCAGTTGGGAGTGGAAGGACTGAGCAAGAGCGAATTGAGGGAGAAAGAGCCGAGTCTCTTGTCGGAAGAAGGAGCAAAAGCAGGGATGACACCGAGAGGGAAGCCTTCACGGAGAAGAGAGAGCTGCTGAATACGGTGTGAGGGGCTGGCTCGTGCACCGTCGACGGGAAATGGCTCACCGGGAACAGAGCGAGCTGTGCCTTCGAGGGTTTGTGGTGATGAGAGGTTATTGTCCCAAAACACCGAGTCAATTGCTGAGCTGAGATTCGCCATTTTCAACTTCTCCTCCTCCTTCCTTTCTTCTTGTTTTCTCCTTCCTTATCTCTCCTGTGTACTACCTAGCTGAGGAGGCAGAAGGGGTTTAAGCTTTATCATGGGCTTTTTTCATTACTAATTGGGCCTTATTAATAACTCCGGAAAATGTTTTATATGTACTCGATTTTTTTTTTTTACAACTCTAATGGTGGTTAGTCATTGATATTTGACAACAAAAAATACTATTTTTCTAAACTTAAAAATCTCATTAAAATTTTAAATTTATAAGAAATCTGAGCGTTGACAAAAAATATATAAGAAAATTGAGCAACCTGATTCAGTTCCATAAAAACAAAAAGTTCAATAACTCAACTCATAAAGCCATAAGTCTTAACAAAATCTAGAATGGAAAGACTAGATTTGATTGGAGTTATTGATGCAGTTATATCATTTGAATCTCTGTAAGATAAAACATTTTAATCTAAAGTTTAATTTCAAAGAGAACAAACATTTGCTTGAATAAAAGACATTGTAATTACTCCAAAAAGTGTCGAATTACAAAATAATCAGAAGCCAGAAGGTTTCTTAAGGAAATTGACTGTCAAAAGACTCAAAACAGCCAAGAATGCCTCTCAAAACACAACGCAATTTATTTGCAAGTGCCATGTTCAGGAAAGAACTTGATAGAACCTCACACAGAAAAAAAGGAAGAAGAAGAGAGAACAGTGTGTTTAGCTAGACATAGGATGATTAAAAACGTATTCAATGGCAAGAGGGCAAGAGTCGATCTTATCAGCTTCTTTGTCTGGAATCTCAAGCTTGAACTCCTCTTCAATAGCCATCACTATCTCCACCGTGTCCAAACTATCTAACCCCAAATCCTTTTGGAAATGAACTTCAGGTGTCACCTGTGTCATTCATTTTCCAACAACAATATCAATCAACCAAAATCCACAACATATTATTATATCCATCCATTAAGACATAAAACTAATTTCATTACAATAACGCTGCAAAATAAACGACAAGTCTGGTCCGAATCCGAGTTAATTTTTTAACGAAGATCGAAACTGACCTTAGCGGGATCGACTTTAGGGAAGCTCTTGATAACATCGAGAACTCTATCGACAACATCTTGCTTGCTGAGATGATCATCGTGCGAAGAGAAAGCACAGATCGAACCAAGGAACCCGATTTGAGATTGGTTGAATCCCGTCACCGGAACCCTCAGGTGGCGAAGGAGTGTGTTTCTCAGTGCCATTTTCCGTCGAGCTTCGAGAGATTTAGGGATTTGATGATGAAAACAGAAACACACGAAAAGAGTTAAAAGAAATCTGGCACGTTCTTATCACGTGTTCGCGCTACTTCAAGCCCATCTCAAGTTGAATCATGGGCCTTGTTATAAAGCCCATATCGTTTCGAGTTTTGTGAAATCTGAGTTATTTTTAAATTATCCCCAATAGTTTCTAATCTCACCTAAATGACCCATTCGACACTAATCCAGTAAATTGGAATCTCGCGGCGTATCCTCAGATTCGCCCGGCTAGTCTGATCTCGGGGGAATAATGGCTCCGGTGTCGGCACTCGCCAAGTATAAGCTGGTGTTTCTGGGAGATCAATCAGTGGGAAAGACGAGCATCATCACTCGATTCATGTACGACAAATTCGACAACACTTACCAGGTTTAATCCTCTGATCTACTCTCTCGTTTTTCTAGGATTTGTAGAATGCTGAGATCTAGTTTCACTGATTGTGTGTGTTAAGCTATGTGTGTGATCTCTGGTTTGTAAATGCTATGACGTCACATTCACTAGAAATGATCACGTGCGATCTTCATTTAACCTCTCATCGCACGTGATCTTGGCTTTGTTCACACTGATCTTGTTTAAAGTTGATATGATCATTAGTTTTACGCTTTTGATAGTTAAGTGAACCTTATCATCATTATACGCAATGTTCTTCCTTTTATTAGTACTGTTTTTGTAATATACAGGCCACAATTGGTATTGATTTTCTATCAAAGACAATGTACCTTGAAGACCGAACTGTCAGACTGCAGCTATGGTAAGAACACTAATTGAAGTATAAAATGGCAGATGATGGTTTTGATAATTAACAAATGAGAGGTGAAACATTATGATAGGGATACAGCTGGGCAAGAGAGATTCAGGAGTCTTATTCCGAGTTATATCAGGGATTCTTCTGTTGCTGTTATTGTCTATGATGTTGCAAGTATGTTTCCCTCTTTCTCTACTTTTTTAAAACTTCTCAAACACATGCATTAATCTTATGAGTAAATGGGTTTTCATTTCTTCCTCTCATCTTGATTCATCATCAAAGTTATCGCGTTGTGAAAAACTTGACCACTATTTTTGTTATTTCATTTGATGTATAGGTAGGCAATCCTTCCTAAACACTACTAAGTGGATCGATGAGGTTAGGACAGAGCGTGGTAGTGATGTTATAGTTGTACTCGTTGGAAATAAAACCGACCTTGTGGACAAAAGGTAATAATGATCTCTCTACCATTATAGACTAGTACCATCTCTTCCTGTACATGTTCCTTTATTCATGTGCAAAATTACTGTTCAATAGTGTAACTGAGACAATCAAATTTGGCATGTATGCTTACTGTTCCTTTATTTAAAGACGGTTTGATTTTGCCTGTTTCGTAGACGATCGGGTTAAACCACGTCTTTTTTTCGGGTAGCATTGAGTATGCTCCCAAAGGTCCCAACAAAATATCATTTGATGCTTAACTGCATATACCTAATCTAAAGGCTTCTTTATAGTCAACACGCTAATGGTGTTTGGTAGTATTTCCTCAGGCAAGTATCAATAGAGGAAGCAGAAGCTAAAGCTCGTGAGGTTAATGTAATGTTTATCGAAACCAGTGCCAAAGCAGGCTTCAACATTAAGGTAATGAAGATCTTTCCGCAGAGTTTTGGACAACCACAAAAATCATGCTAAATTTACTATAGTCTTAACCTTTGTTTACTCCCATGAATAGTTAATCAACCTACCCATATTAATACCAATCTACTGATTAATAAAAGACTAATTATGCACCCTCTTCATTCATATGGATCTCTTTTGTTATTAGGCACTTTTCCGTAAGATAGCAGCAGCATTGCCAGGAATGGAAACACTGTCTTCGACAAAGCAAGAGGACATGGTTGATGTGAATCTCAAGTCTTCCAATGCAAATGCATCTTTGGCTCAGCAGCAATCAGGTGGATGCTCTTGTTAGAGGAATTGGCAACAACAACAAACTGATAAAAAGAACAACAACAGAAAAAGTTATCGAGCCTTCTAGCTTGTGATCCGATCCGCTATTATCTTCCCTCTGTAAAATTTTTGCCTGCTTTTATCAATCATATTTTGTGTTTTAAAACTGAGTTTGTTTTAGTTATTGTTTGGGTAAAGCTTATTTATATTGTTTATAGGGGTGAACCAGTAAGAGTTTCCATTGATAACAAAGAGTGATGTTGTTTCTCCTGTCTAAAATAAGTTTAAACAAGTAGTGGTGACAAAGACAGATGCACCGATCTGTTAAAACTAGTTACGCATGGGCTGATCCATTCTAACGTGGGCTGATTGATTATTATAAGGCGCAATAGTGAAAAAAAAAAAATTGAGAGGATTAAAAAATGAATTTATTTATACCAAAAAAAAAAAAAAAAAAGAAAGAAGATCATCCTTAAACTGTTGCTAAATAGCTGCCTCCTCCCATTGCCTACCTTTCGCGATCTGGATCATCATATATATCACTTCATTAATAATTAAAAGGAATAAATACTATAAAGTTAATTAAGTCTCAAAAAGTCCTCTTCCTCTTCTCACTATCTCAAGTCTTATTCTCGCTCAGAGTCTTGACTCCATCAGATCCCTCTGAGTCATTCCTTTTTTCTTTCAAATCTAATCAAGAAACCTTCTTCATCTGATCGATTTCGCAAAACCCTAGCTTCGCCGTACAGTTAGATCTCCATGGCGTCGTCACCACCTAATAACATAAACCCTAACAATCCTAATCCACCGTTACCGCCTGCATCTTACCCTCCCCCCGCAGGTCCTTTACAGTACGCTCCTTCCTCTTCCTCTTCCGCGAGTAACTTACACCAACAGAGATCACTCCCTTTCCCCTCGCCTCCTCACTCGCCACGTGTCAATCACAACCCCGGAACACACATCCTCGCTCTCCTCAACAACAACAACACCAACAATAACGGAGGAGGAGGTGTCTCGGTGAGTACTCAAGATCCGAATAATCCGATTCGTGTAGGGAGCTGTAAGGTTCCTAGGGGGAGGAGATTGAGCGGGGAAAACGCTGTGTACGATGTTGATGTGAGATTACAGGGCCAGATTCAGCCTCAGCTTGAGGTCACTCCCATTACTAAATACGGCTCCGATCCTCAGCTTTTACTCGGAAGGCAAATCGCTGTTAATAACATCTATATTTGCTATGGTTTGAAAGGTGGGAACATTCGTGTTCTCAATATCAACACTGCCTTACGAGCTTTATTCCGTGGCCATTCTCAGGTTTTGATTTTAAAAGTTATCCAATAATGCTAATATCTTTTTCATTTATTTAATTGAAGTGTTTGTATATTTGTGTGTACAGAGAGTGACAGATATGGCTTTCTTTGCTCAAGATGTTCATCTCTTGGCTAGGTAGGTAGCCCTTCTTTGTGATTATTTTTAGGCCGCCTTGTATTCTCCTTACAGTTGATACTTGTTTTAAAACAGTGTAAGCTTAGATGGAAAGGTTTTTGTATGGAAGATATCTGAAGGGTCTGAGGGAGACGATGATCCTCAGATCACTGGAAAAATTGCTCTTGCTCTTCAGATTCTAGGTCATGAAGAAGACACCAAACACCCACGTGTTTGTTGGCACTCACACAAACAGGTATGCTAATAAAATAAAAAAGAAAAATCTTGTTCAATTTTGTGTTTATACTTCTCTGATTGCCTAATTCTTTTCAGGAAATTTTGGTGGTTTCGATTGGTAAACACGTTCTCCTGATTGATACTACCAAAGTTGGCAGAGGGGAAGTGTTCTCAGCTGAGGCTCCTATTCAGTGCCACCTTGATAAATTGATTGATGGTGTAAAGATTGTTGGCAAGCACGATGGAGAGGTTACAGATTTATCCATGTGCCAGTGGATGATCACACGCCTCGTTTCCTCCTCTGTTGATGGCACGGTTTGTATTTCTTTTATCGTCCTATTTTCATCATCTTTGTTCTTAATATATGTTTTTAAAGATGAATTAACTTAAGAATTCTGATTACTCATATTATTGGAATGGTGAAGTTTTACTTAAGTGAAACCCATCAGCCTGTTTAACTTTGTTATGCTAGTGAAGTTGACATCCAATTACAGTTCTAGCTCATTTCTGAATTTTAAACATTGCTTTGTTTCATCTATGTATTGTCGCTTCTCAACCGGCAGTAGCTAGTGTTTTAGTGTGTGTGAGCGAGAGAAGCTTACTCTTGCTTTCCTCATGATATTAACAGGTTAAGATTTGGCAAGACTTCAAGGCCCAACCAGTTGCAGTTCTGAGACCTCATGATGGCCATCCTGTCAGTTCGGCAACATTTGTGACATCCCCTGAGAGATCTGATCACGTCATACTCATCACTGGGGTAATTCTTTTGAATCAGAATTTCCGACTTATTTTAGTCTTATCCAATGCTAAATTACCTCTACTGTGTTGAACTTTACGTTTTTTTACCATACCTTATCTTTCTACTTAGTTGCTAACTCTGTCTGTGTTGGCAATGTTTGCAGGGTCCTCTAAATCGAGAGATGAAGATTTGGGTCCCGACTGGGGAAGAAGGATGGCTCCTACCAGCTGAATCTGAGTCATGGAACTGTACTCAAAAACTTGATTTGATAAGTTCATCTGAGCCACGAGCGGAGATGGCGTTTTTCAACCAAGTCATAGCCTTGTCTGAGGCAGGCCTCCTCTTGCTTGCAAATGCGAAAAGGAACGCCATATATGCCGTGCATTTGGACTATGGCTCATCTCCAGCTGATACAAGGATGGACTACTTGTCTGAGTTTACAGTCACTATGCCAATATTAAGTTTTATCGGGACTAATGATCCTCCAGAAGAACCCATTGTTAAGGTTTATTGTGTTCAGACGCAAGCAATCCAGCAGTATACATTAGACTTATGCTTGTGTTTGCCTCCTCCTATAGAGGAGAATGTGGGTTTGGAGAAGTCAGATTCTAGTGTTTCGCGGGAGGCAAATCTGGTTGAAGGCATATCAAAACCAGCTGGAATAAAGCTTACAGATTTACCTTCAGTTGATTCAGTGCCTAAACCATCTATTTTAGTGAATAGATCGAAAGGTGCTAATACTTCGACTTATCCGGCGGTTTCTGCATCTGGGGAGACGACAGCACCAGTTATTGTTTCATCCAACGGTGAGCCTAAAACTTCTGGGCTGCTATCTGAGACCAGTGCTGCAGGGTCGGCATATGCTACTTCACCCCAGCTTCCTCTAAGTCCCAGACTATCAAGTACACCTTCTGTTGATAGGCAAGCAGATGCTGTTGGAGAAAGAAATTTGGAGGAAAGCTCAAGAAGCAAGGACAAGGATGTTACACCTGATGATGATTTGTCTGGGATGCGAACTCCACAAGGTTTTTTCAAGCACCCCACTCATCTTGTAACTCCTTCAGAGTTTTTGATGCGCGTTTCGTCTGCTGAAGCTTCCATTACCACTGAAGTCAAAAGGGATAGAGATGCAAATATCCAGGACGTCAATATTGATTCAAGAGACACAGAGGTTGAGGTCAAAGAAGTAGGTGACTCAAGTTCGACGCAGAATGGTGAAATCAATTACAATGACGAAACTGAGCATCGCACTTCAATAAATAAAGAAAAAATCTTTTACTCACAGACTTCGAATCTCAGCAATGAGATGGCAAGAGACTGTTATCCTCGTACAGAGTCAGAGGAATCTAAGGCTTATGAAAAGTGTGTACAACCTGGGGATAATCTTGACTCAAGAGATGTGTCCGGAAAGCTTCCTGAGTCGGTTTCATCTATTGGGCTTCCACAGTCAGCCGCTACAGATAGCAAAGGGAAGAAGCAGAAGGCCAAAAGCTCAGAGGGTCCCGGATTGTCATCTACATCCTCAAATGTTGCTAATCTGGCTGATACCCTCAATGAGCAAACTCAGAGCTCAAGCCAATCTATCTTAGCTTTGCAAGAAACAATGAATCAGGTGACATTTTGATCTTGAATTAAATAAGTACCCTGTTGCTTGACTTGCCGTTATTTTGATTTGGCATATAACATGTTTCTTTGTGGCGACCATAAGAGATTGTAATTTGTATTGCATTTCTCGACGATAGGTTATTATTTTCTTTACCTTGGTAATTTGCTAGATATTTGTTGACTTGGAACATTATTTCCCTTGCAGATAATGGTTTCGCAGAAAGAGATGCCGAGACAACTGTCCAATGCTGTGAATGTCCTTGTCACTAAAGAAGGTAAGAGAGTAGAAGTGGCTTTAGGGCGAATAATTGAGAAATCCAACAAGTCAAATGCTGATGCTCTTTGGGCCCGCTTACAAGAGGAGACCGTTAAGAATGAAAAGGCAATGCGTGACCATTCACAGCAAATTGTGAATGCAATGACAAACTTCATGAGCAAAGAGTTAAATGCAATGTTTGAGAAAACGATAAAGAAGGAGTTCGCTACAATTGTTCCAGCTATAGCTCGTGCATTAACTCCAGCCATTGAAAAAGTTGTATCTTCTTCAATCACGGAGTCCTTCCAGGTTCGAATTTTACTTCTAATTGGTAGAAGCTGATTCCTCTCAGTGTTATTGTATTGTTGAAAAAATGTGATTTTTCTTTCTTTTATACAGAGAGGACTTGGTGACAAAGCAGTTAATCAGCTTGACAAATCTATTAATTCAAAGCTTGAGGCAACCATAACTAAGCAAATACAAACCCAGTTTCAGACATCCGGCAGGCAAGCCCTCCAGGTAAATTGGAATTGGCCATGCTCTAAAATTACTTATGTAGCGTACTGGAAGTCTTATAGCTTGGCGAAAGCGGAACTGATCTCTTATATTTCTGCCATTTCTAATTTTCAGGAAGCTCTTAGGTCGGGTCTGGAGGCCTCACTCATACCTTCCTTTGAGAGGTCATGCAAGACCATGTTTGAGCAAGTAGACACAGCCTTCCAGAAAGGGATAGCTGAGCACACAAACGCAGCACAACAACGGTTTGACGTTGGACACTCCCAGCTTGCTCATACTTTAAAGGTATGGTGGCAAATCATCCTTTATGGTTGCAAAATCGAAACAGCTTGCTGAAGTTGTTGCACGAATTACAGGAAACCATTACTTCTGCGTCGTCAGTTGCTCAAGCCTTGAGCCGTGAATTAGCGGAGAGCCAAAGGAATCGGTTAGCTCTCGCAGCCGCTGGAGCAAATTCTAGTGGATCAAACACCTTGGTTTCTCAACGAAGTAGTGGACCTTTGGGTGCTCTTCTTGAAAAGGTTTGTCACATCTCTACAACTATGAATTTCATAAGCCTTGTGTTAGTCTACTGCAGGAGCGTTGTAATTAACCCTAGGTGGCTTGTAGTTACTTGTAGCTCCCAGCAATCATAGTTGATTCAGGTTAGCTGAAGAGCTACCATTGGAAATTTAGGTATAAGTAGGCATATAGAATTGGTCTAGGACCTTGCTTTGGGCTTAGGAGAGGAATATTTATAGTTCTCAGTCTCTTTGGTACCTAGTCTCGTTCTGTTCTCTGTGGTCTTTCATGATTGGAGCTTAGAAGAATCCCAAGTTGATAATCGCAACATATATTCCTTTCAGGTTGAAGCAGACCCAACTACAGAACTATCCAGGTTGATATCTGAACGCAAATACGAAGAATCTTTTACTTCAGCTTTACAGAGAAGCGATGTCTCCATAGTATCATGGCTCTGCTCACAGGTGAAAATTTAATTTTGCGCAATTGTTAGATCTCTCATTGTCATCAGTTTTACATAAGATCCCTTGCCAATTCAGGTGGATTTGCGTGGACTACTCGCTATGAACCCACTTCCTCTAAGCCAAGGCGTGCTACTGTCACTGCTGCAGCAGCTAGCCTGCGACATCAGCAAGGACACATCCCGTAAGCTAGCGTGGATGACCGATGTGGTTGCAGCAATTAACCCATCAGACCAGATGGTAGCTGTCCACGGTCGGCCAATCTTTGAGCAAGTGTATCAGATTCTGCACCACCGCCCCAACGCACCAGGCAGCGACGCCTCTGCCACAAGACTTATAATGCACGTGATCAACTCCATGCTTATGGCCTGCAAATGATCAACTCTTTGTTCTGATCATCTTTTCATTTTTGGTTTGAATTTTGTATTTTTCCCTTTTATCATTGTTCTTTTAAAAATGTAAAATCTGGTTGTTTCATATACGTTTGCTCTGCTTTCCTCAAGTTGATCTTATGTAAAAACCAAACCAATGTTGGAGTTTTTCATTCAAAAACACAAAGGCACGTATTTGTAAATGCGTTTACATTTCTTCTTCCTCAAAACACTACTAAGAGGATCAATGAGGTTAAGACAGCATGGTAGTGATGTTATAGTTGTACTCATTGGAAATAAAACCGACCTTGTGGACAAAAGGTAATAATGATCTCTACCATTATAGAGTAGTACCATCTCTTCCTTTATACGATCGTCATGTGCAGCATTACTGTTCAATAGCAATTGAGACGGTTTGATTTTGCTTGTTACTGTTGAACCACGTCTTACTTTTCGGGTGGCATTGAGTATGTTCCCAAAGGTCCCAACAAAATAACAAATGAAAAAAAAATCATTTGATGCTCAACTGCACATACTAATCTAAAGGCTTCTTGATAGTCAACACCTAATGGTGTTTGGTTGTATTTGTTACTGCTGCTGGGCCTTGCTAATAAATTGTTTGCTTTCTCAGGAAAGTATCAATAGAGGAAGCAGAAGCTAAGGCTCGTGAGGTTAATGTAATGTTTATCGAAACCAGTGCCAAAGCAGGCTTCAACATTAAGGTAATGAAGATCTTCTCTTCACATCTTTCCTCAGAGTTTTGGACAATAACAAAAATCATGCTTCAAGTGCTTTGCTTCGAAATTGTGATTTGTATGTCTTATAAATTGAATTACAAAACTGTGAGCGAGATAAATTAAACACACTCATCATCTCGTTTCTTCCTTCCATGTGGAGACAGACAGGTGGATATAGATAGCAAAGCAGCATAGAATAGTCTTTTTGGGTTTTTACCCATAAAGAAACAGAGAATTAAGTTGGAACACATGTCTTTTGGTCAGACTGCTTTAATGAGCTGGTTAAATTCAAAGTTTCATTGTCCCCAGGTATTACCTTGTTTCACAACCTTAAGAAAAAAAGGTTTTTAACATACGCTTTCTTTGTGAAAACCTCTGGTATATGAATGCAGTTGTGAAAAAAACTATTTGATAGAAAAACATAGGAGCATATGTTATTTCAAATGCTTTTTTGATGTGATTACTCCTTATTGTGAAGAAAAAAAACAAAAGAATATTGCAGGATTACTTTTCTTTATTGCACCTGAAGCTGAGAGTATTTCAGTATTTCTAAATTATCTGAAGTATTTGAAAATCTAATTTGTTAAGCTTGTTTGTCTAATGACACATCACAATTAATAATAAGAGTATGTCAATCAAATTGCCCATTTATAGCCCAACTAATAACTAAAAATATAAATGAAAAATAGTGTTTTATTTGAATTTTCCAACTATCAAATGTTACATAATTCGCAATAATGGTCATAATTAAAGAGAGACCCCCTCCAAAAAAAAAGAAAACAGAATGAGTAACTTGAAATCAATGAACATGTAGGTGAGAGTGGAGATGGTAGAGCCACGATATAACACTATTTCTCCCCCTTAAAAACTCACTCATTAAATGCCAACCTTCCCTTTTATGACCGTTGATGGTGTAAAGATGGCGAAAAATCTATAGTGTAAATATTATTCATTCACGGCTATGGACTGGACCCATCGAATTTAAAACGATTTTGGACCCACCTTGTATATATATATTTTTTTATTAAACTCAGACATAGTCTTTACTCTTTATAACCTTTGAAACTCTACTTGGATCTTAAAAAAGTCTTCAACTTTAGTCGAAATTGAGACCTGTGATATTGGATCTACATGCCCTTTTCTTCTAGGTTTCTTCTTTTAAGTTTTGATGTAGTCCACTGAGACTAGTAAATTGGATTTCTTAATGGTTAACTTTGACTTTTCATGTCTAGGAGAAGTGAGGAACTTTATCAAAAAAAAAGTCAAGACATTGTTTTTCTAGATTAAGGGAAACACAAGGGTATGTGTCTCATTTATTATTTACTCACAAAGCACATTGATTCTTGAACTGTAAACTTCAAAAAAAAAAAAATGCAATATTTTATAATTCTGACATGAACTATAGTCATAGGTTTCTTCTTCTTCTAAAATCTACTCCAATTTAGATTTGTTATTCTAATCTCCTACACAAAATAACAATTACAATATACAATGAGACTTTCATACTTAATATACTAGAAAGGAAAATTTTTCACTCTTTATCTGTTGGTATAGTAAAGCCACTATATAATAATAATAAAACCATCATATGAATCTTGTGAGTGGTATTTAGGTAATTACGTATAGAAACGGTCTGAAAACGACCAAACACAAAACACAATCAACGGCGGGGATCAACCCGTCCTAAATCGACAAGCTTCTTAGACCGGTTCGCGCAAAAAGACGCCGCCGTCGAAATGTGAGGCCTCGCCGGAGACTTAAGCTCACCGGTATAATTATACCCAAATTCCGGCGGAAGTTTCCCTTTCCATGTAGAAGAACCGTTAGGTTTAGCTCTCACCAATGGACTCAAACAGAAACCCATCCCTGAACCAATCATCGCCGTCTTTCTTCTCCCCGGAGTTCCCATCGCCGCCGCCGGCGTTCTTTTAACTCTCTCCGGAGTTTCCTCGAGTTCGTAATCCACCGTCGCCGGTGACATTCCTCTGTGGTGTCTCTGTCTTGGTCGGTGACTTGACTCGGAAGCAATCAAATCCTCGATGTAGCATGTATTAGAAGATGGCTTTTTGGATCGAAAGGAGAGGACTTTCGATAGCCATGAGGAAGATGAAGGAGGAGAAGACGTTGACGCGTCGGAGGAATCTTTAAACTCTTCAGATCTTGTCCTGAATAAGCTGGAGAATCGAGATAGCTTGCTCTGTTTCTTCTTTAAAGAACGGGAGGAATCAAAGAGTTTTTCCGACGACGATGTTCTTCCGACGGCGGTGGAGGAGCTTACTTGCGGCGTTGGGAAGAATCTGTTGTGAGAAGAAGCTAAAGTGATGTCGGCTCGTCCTCTTCCGGCGTCGGATTTTCTTGCGGAGACGTAAGGAGAAACAGAGCGAGGAAAAAACAGAGGACGAGGATGAGGAGGAGGAGAGGTTTTATGATCGTTAGCTTCAGACGCGGCGGTTGAAGCGGCGAGGGAGAAGAGACGTTCACGGAGACAAGAAGCGCAAACGCCGATACTGCTACTGAAATCAACTGTGTGTCTTTTACACCTCATCGGGAAAAAAAAAAGTTGAAAGCTTTACAACAGAGAAGAAGATCTAGTGAGTTAAAAAGAGAGAGAGATACTGTTGTCTTCTTCTGTATCTGAAGCTTCTCTTTTAGAGAGAGAGAGAGAATCGCCGGGAGAGTAAATGAATCTTTCAGAAAAAAGAAAATGCAATTTTGGCAGGTAATAAAGGCTTTGACACGTTACCGTTTGGTTTAAGTAATAAACCAATGCTGTTGCAAGTGATGGTGATGATTAATTCTTAAGGTTAAAGATAAAATCTCATCTATTCTTAATTAACGTCATTTTTTTTTTTTTACTTTATTTTATGGGTGTGCTTGTTGTAGTGGGAAGATGAAGATTTCATAGTTTTCATGATTCTTATTGTCGTTGACATTTGCTATCTTATCATTGTCAAAACAAACATCACCTCATCACAAATGGCATATGTAATGATTACCTTGTTAACTTAACTAAACGTCCTCTTAATTTGACTCATTAAAATCCATATTAAACCATACTTAGTAAGTCGCATGTCAACATATGCTATGAACAATGCATCGAAAGTT